TGTTCCGAAGTCCAAGGGGATCCAGACGGCTGGAACGAGCTGGTACAATCCACGGGAGTGCACGTTAAAGACCCCATAACTTTGGAAGGTGTGGATTTGCCTTGGGATCTCATAGAAATGAAGCTGAACCACTATGAGGTCATCTTGGGAATGAATTGGCTGACCCGATACCATGCGACTTTGGACTGTCACAAGGCAAGGGTCATGATTCCCAAGGAGGATGGTTGGATAACGTTCCAAGGCATTCAGTTAAAGTCAGGAGTCATAATCATCTCGATTTTGCAGGCAGAAGAGCTTCTGGAGAAGGGGCATGAAGCGTATCTGGCCACCATTTCGATGGTAGAAGAGGAAGTAGTGTCAGATCTTAGTACAATTCGGGTAGTAGCTGAATATGTGAACGTATTCAAGCCGCTGCAAAGACCGCCTCCCACACGAAGTGATACTTTCACGATTGAAGTTGAGCCCGGGACGGCGCCCGTATCAAAGGCTCCTTATCGTTTAGCACCTGCAGAAATGGCTGAGCTGAAGAAGCAGTTCAGGACTTGTTAGATAAAGGGTTTATCCGGTCAAGTAGCTCGCCATGGGGAGCATCTGTGAAGAAAAAGAACGGTAGCTTCAGACTCTGTATTGATTACAGAGGTTTGAATAAAGTGACTATTAAGAATAAGTACCCTTAGCCGTGGATCGATGAGCTGTTGGACCAGCTGCAGGGAGCCTCTTGGTTCTCGAAGATCGATCTTGCGTCGGGATATCATCAGATACCCATAGCAGAGGAGGATGTGAAGAAGACCGCATTTCGGACGTGTTATGGTCATTACGAGTTCGTGGTTATGCCATTTGGACTGACTAATGCGCCCGCCGCCTTTATGAAGTTGATGAATGAAGTTTTTTGCGAACACTTGGATAAGTGCGTGATTGTCTTCATTGATGACATATTAGTCTACTCCAGGAGTAAAGACGAGCATGACAGGCATCTGCAGATCATTCTGGAGAAGTTGAGGGAGCATCAGTTGTTTGCAAAGTTTAGTAAGTGCAGCTTCTGGCAGAGGAAGATCAGATTCCTAGGCCATGTAGTATCTGAAGTCGGTGTAGCCGTGGATCCGGAAAAGATCACTTCTATTACCAACTGGCCTGCGCCGACAAGTGCTACTGAGGTCCGTAGTTTCTTGGGTTTGGCTGGGTACTACAGGAAGTATGTGAAAGGATTTGCAGCATTGCCCAAGTCATTGACAGCCTTAACAGACAAGGACGTCAAGTTCCAATGGACGGAAGCTTGTGCCAAGAGTTTTGCAGATCTGAAGGGACGTTTGACCGATACCCCTGTTTTGGTATTACCAAGGACAAGTGTACCATACGTGGTGTATACAGACGCATCGCGGACTGGACTCGGTTGCGTGCTCATGCAAGAGGAGAAGGTAGTCGCATACGTCTCATGGCAGTTGCGCAAGCATGAGGTCAATTACCCCACTCACGATTTGGAGTTAGCAGCAGTAGTATTTGCCCTTAAGATTTGGCGTTCATACTTGTACGGGGAGAAAGTGCAAGTGTTTACGGACCATAAAAGTCTTAAGTACATCTTTACCCAGGGGGACCTGAATCTGAGATAGCGCAGATGGGTAGAGTTGTTGGCAGACTACGATTTGGATATCGTCTACCATCCCAGGAAAGCCAATCAGGTGGTGGACGCCCTGAGTAGACGAAAGGCAGATGTATCAGTTGCTAAGGAAGCTGAGGAGCTAGTCTCGATGGTAGCCAGCCTGCGCCTGTGCGCCACTACCATCGGTGAGCCGGCCAACGGTTTGGAAGCCGTGGGTCAAGCGGACCTATTGGAACGGATCCGCGAGGCTCAGAAGGACGACCATGCACTTAGAAGGATGATTGACCGCAATGTGGATGGATACCACATTGCGCTCAATGGAACTTACCTATTCTGTGATAGGGTTTGTGTTCCGAGGGTAAAGGATCTGAAGGACGAGATCCTGCGCCAAGCTCATCAGTCACGGTTTGCTATCCATCCGGGAAGCACAAAGATGTACCGGGATTTGAAGAGGTATTACCATTGGGACAGTATGAAGAAGGACGTCGCCAGATGGGTATCACAGTGTCAGACATGTCAGCAAGTGAAAGCTGAACATCAGGTTCCAAGCGGACTACTCTAGAACTTACCACTACCAGAATAGAAATGGGACATGGTAACTATGGATTTTGTCACCGGACTGCCGCGGACGACTGGATATAAGGATGCGATTTGGGTAATCGTGGACCGCCTTACCAAGTCTGCGCACTTCTTAGCTATTAGAAAGACGGATGGAGCTGATCGCTTAGCTCAGAAGTATCTAGATTCCATAGTGAGACTGCATGGAGTTCCAGTTAGCATAGTGTCATATCGTGATCCGAAGTTCACATCGATGTTCTGGCAGGCTTTTCAGAAAGCATTAGGAACTAAGGTTCATCTCAGTACTGCCTATCACCCCCAAACTGACGGACAATCGGAAAGGACGATTCAGACCCTCGAGGACATGCTCCGGGCGTGTGTTCTTGCTGGGCGGGGAAGTGGAGCGAGTACTTACCGTTAGCTGAGCTTGCCTACAAAAACAGTTATCACGCGAGTATCGATATGTCTCCATACGAGGCTCTGTATGGTAGACCGTGTCGCACTCCCCTCTGTTGGACTGAGGTGGGTGAACGACGTGACCTAGAGCCGGACATGGTCAAGGAGACGGTTACGCAAGTGGAATTGCTTAAGGACAGACTTAAGGAAGCCCACAACCGTCAGAAGAGTTATGCCGATAAGCGTAGGAAAGACTTAGAGTTTTCAGTTGGAGATGAGGTCTACCTGAAAATGAGAACCTTCACCGGTGTGAAAGAGATTAGGAAGCTGAAAAAGCTTAAGCCACGGTACATGGGGCCATATAGGGTCATTGAGAGAGTTGGCAATGTGGCTTATCGATTGGGTTCGCCACAAGAGTTGTCTGACTTCCATAATGTGTTCCATGTATCTGTGTTAAGGAAGGTAGTTAGAGAGCCTGAGCTGATACTGCCTGATCCGCCAGTGGATGTGAGTGGAAACCTCCGGGTGCAAAGCACGCCTGTCTCGATAAAGGAATATCAGACAAGGGACTTTCAGGGGAAGGAAACCCGGATGGTCTTGGTGTGTTGGGAAAGAGATGGAATTAGTGAGGAGACCTGGGAAGAGGAAAATGACATGAGGAAATGGTGTCCTGAACTTTTTGAGGGTGCGAGGGGATCGCAGGGTGGTTACAAGAATTCGAGGGCGAATTCCTCTAAAGAGGGGGAGAATTGTAACGCCCTGGATCTAGGCCCAATAGGAAAAGAAAAGGCCCATGTGTCAGAAGCCCAAGAGGAAAGGGTATTAGGGTTTTCCCAGAGTCTTCCCTAGATAAACAAAGCTAGAGAGTTAGGTTTTCCATCACAACTCCCAAAGCACTCAGAGATAGAACCTAGGAACCCTAACCGAGCAAGCCGCCACCGCCGTTCGTCTTCGCCGCCGACCGCCGCCGCTGAGGAGAGCCGCCGTCGTTCCGCCGTTCCTAGCCGCCGTTTTTTTTAGTCCTTTGCTTTCCGTCGTTAGATCCCTTAAACCCTAGATCCCTTTTTAGTTTTCATTCGATTAGGCAAAGGTGAAGATGTGTTCATGTCTTCCCTTCGATATTGTTAGCTAGCTTCTCCTGATTAGATCTGACTTCCAAGTCCTCTAAATCCCCTACAAGTTCCGCTCTAGGTCGTAACTTGTAGATCTGTGCTGTTTGCTAGGTTGTTATTTGCTTTCAGAACATAGATCTAGGGATGGATTAATACTGTTGATTGTTGCTTGATGTTGAATATTGCTTGTGAGAATTGTGAACTGCATTGCATTGCATGTAGTGTGTGAAAGCACAAACTGCATTAGGACCCAGCAGTGAGAGGCACTGCTGGCATGATTGACGCCTGCGACAGAGGATGTGCCTGTCGTAGTGCCATGTGGTGCTCAGGTTGACGAACCAGTCGTGCAACGACTTAGACTCTTGCGGAGATGCGTCCCCTAGCAAGGGTGTAAGACATACGAAACTTGTGGAGGTTAATCCATGGGATACTGTAACGAGAGACGTTCAGTATGCTCGCTTTGTTCATTGCATATTTGTTTGTTGATTGTTAGAGAAATCGTTAAAAATTTTGTTTGTTCGTTTGGCTCTAGCTAGCGACAGGTTGGGTAATGATATGTGTGGTGGACCACATATATGCATTCTCCTGGGTAATCTAAATTACTCATCCCCTCCTTTCCCGTTCCCCCTTGCGCAGGTGAGTAGGAGCAGCAGGAGTGATTGGCGTGTGATGGTGGCGAGCTGGTTCTCTAGTTCGGTCCTTGGAGTCCTTAAGACACTTAGCTTTCTATTTCAAATAGTTTTCAGTTGGTTTTAAGACTTGATTATGATTATGATTTATTTGAGTTTAAATTGGTTATTTGCAAAACTGTTTGGATTTATATCTATGAAATGAGTATTGATTTAGAGTTAATGCTGTAGTAACTTGGTTGGGAAGTTGAGTGTTTAACACGTCATCTCATACGAGAAGAAGCGGTGTTACAAAATATATAGTCCATAAGTTTTCATTTCCCATAACCTTCATTCTTAAAGATTTTGCCTTATTAGGTGAATCTCTTTTGGAGATGTTGTTCTATTTATAGCACTCCCTGGCTAATTTTAACATACCTTTCTACTTCTTCTTTTTTTTTTCTCTGTCATTACGTGGTTCGATTCTCTCTGCTTTCAAACAATCTTCAGAATCTTTATATAAAAACGAATAAAAAACAACCTTCAGAATCAACAACGTAAAAGAGATTTAAACAATCGCTTATCGACACTCTTCTTATCATATTGTAAGTGTTATGATCACATTAATGCTTGATATATATCATATATTCGTATGATATATTCACTATATATATATATAATGTGTGTGTATATATAATAACGTTCCATGGTTTTGTTTTGTGTGCAAAGGCAGAAGAAGAAGAAATGAGAAAGCACGTTGTGTTAACGAAGCCTTTCTCGTTAGATGATGAGAAAGACTCGGAACACACAACTTCCAATCTCATCCAACGGATCTTAAGCCTCTTCAAAAACGTACGCCCAGGATCCGATCTTACTAACTTTCAGGTACGTAACTCTATTCGTTTGTCATTTTTAGGTGATGCAAAGGTTAGTATGTATATTGAGAATCTTTGAAGATGCACTATCTTTAGTGTTTACTTTTTTTTCGGGACTTAATTTGTATCATTTCACGAATTTTTATTGCAAACAAATAAAAAGAATCTATTTGTCTCAAATTTGCTATTTCCGAAGAACTTTTTTTGCTCTTCATTTAAAATAGAATTTGAGTTTTCCCTTTTCCCAAAAATAGAGTATTACTCGTCATGTATCACACGACTGGTCTGTTCCGATACTGGGATTGTTATTTTCCCTAAATGAGGATATTTTTCTGTTCTTTCATGGGTTTTTTTTTTTCATTGATACAGTATAATATAATTGAAAAAGATATGTAAATTGGTGGTGGACTTAATGGTTTTGCTTTGGTCTAAGATATATGAGAGTTTGATTCTATTTCTCGAAAGAAGTTGAGAAAAAACTTAATTATCGACTATATATGTTGTCAAAATGGTTTTGCTATTTTTGTTTATGTATAATTAATAATGGTTTTTATCTACGGTGAAAGCTTCCACCTCAACTGAACCTACCGGGATCACAACTCCAATGCTACGGCGAGATGATCTACGGTTTCAACGGTCCCGATTTTCTCGGAGAGTGTGGTCGTCGTGACAAACCAATCGAACGGCTCAAAGCAGTCGTAACGTGGAACATCTCAACTCTCCGGCCATTGATCTTTGGCATGGCTCCTTACAATCCTGTCGTCGGCGAAACTCATCACGTCTCCAATGGCCACATCAATGTTCTCGTAGAGCAAGCAAGTGCTTTTTTTACTATATATATATCTATCGACCATCGTCAGATACTAATTTACGAACTTTATTGAGTTTTAATGTTTTTGCATTTTACATTTTCTTTCAGATATCTCATCATCCACCAGTGTCTGCTCTTCATGCAACTCACGAGAAAGAAAACATTGACGTAACGTTTTGTCAATACTTCACACCTAAATTTCGTGGTACGTCTACGTACATAATTACATTTATATATATCCTCACTAACCTCTACCTTTTGTTTCTCACATAATTTATTTTTATCATTGATCCCTAAATTTGTTTCGAAAGTAGAAGTATTTAATTAGAAGATAAGACGGTACTATTTTAATTTGCGCTGCAAACTAATTTACAGCACACTTTTGTTTTTTTTTTGGATTCATCCGCTACATATTATTTGAGAAGTAACATTATTGAAAATAGCTGATTTGTCAACATTATAGCCAAAATTAGTGCTTTTAATTGATGACATGTAAATGTGACATGTCAAACTTCCTAAAATAAACGAAATGTTTTGATTGAATGAATTAAAATTATAGAAATTGTAGAATTAAAACATAAATAAACTAGATTATATTTATAACACTAAAATTAACAAATTTAAATTAACAGAAAATAAAAGTTATTATAATTTCAATTTTGTACATATATTCATAATTTCATAAAATATAATTACATTTTTTTTCAACAATATATATATATTATAATTTCATATAAAACAAAAAAAATAATACTAAATTATATATATTTTTCTATAACTTTTATCATCTTTTTATTGTTGTTTTCTAAAATGTACATAACTTATGTTACCATCTCATCTTATCTCTTATCATATTTTAAATAAAAATAAATTTTATATCATATGTATATATATACATAAATTTATTTACATTGTATATCAAAATTTTGAGAACATAAATAAAATAAAAAATAACCGAATGAAAGAATAAATTATAATAAGATGAAACAATATGAATTAAAAATAAAAATATAAGTATGTAAAAATAAATCTCTCGCACTTTATTTTACAAAGTCACTTAAAAACTTTTTAACACCTAAGAACCATATTTCATTTTTTTTACAAATACGCGTACATACATAAATATTAATTGTACATTAGTTGAAGTCACATGCGAACTTTTTCATGCATGTATTTTGTTAAGATTGATTAGAGACTAACTTTTATTTTAATTATTATATAATTTATATTTTTTAAAAAATATTTATCTATTCTAAGTGTAGGGAAGTGGTTGGTATGTCCGCACATGCGTGCCAACCATCTATCCGCTCTTAAGAATAAGTAAAAATGGTAAAAATTATTTCAGTTTAATTTGCAATAAATCAAGAAAAATATATACTTAAAATATATTATATATGTATTTGCAAATTCATATTATATAGGACGCAAAAAACATATTGTAGATTGTGTAAGGAGAAATAAAACATATTATAGAAATATTCAAAAAATATTATAAAAATTTAGTTATTATTTAACATAACTTTTATATTTGTGATTATATATTATTATAAGCATTATAAAAATAAAGTTTTTAAAATACATTGGTTTCAGAAAGAAATTTGTGAAATATTAAAATAATATATATACAAACATACCAATATTTAAAAAAACTAATCAATATTTAAATATTACAATTAACTATGTATATAAAAAAAATTATATCTACACGCACATGCGGACAACCACCTAGTTTTAATTAATTACACTAAGTATGTCCTAATTAGTAATCTATACGATATAAAAGGTGCTTACGTGGACGTTGAGGTGCGGGGCAAAAAAGTAGTGAAACTTCTAAATCAAGGAGAGACTTACGAAATGAACCAACCAAGACTTGTGATGACATTTCTGCCGGCGACGGGAGCTCACTGGGCCGGAAAAATCGTGATAAAGTGCCCGGAGACTGGACTCGAAGCCGAGTTGCAGCTACTCTCCGATTCATTTTTAAGTCGATTCACAGGAAACAACAAGAGATCCATTAAAGGCAAGATCTTTGAATCTTCCTCTGGGAAACGGCTCTATGAAATCTTTGGACATTGGGACAGGTAACAAAAGAAGATACTATAATCCATTTTTCAAAGTTTATTGCAGTAACAGAGAATATCATTTACAAATAACGTAACTGTTTTCAGAACCGTTACCGCGAAAAATCTCAAGACTGGAGAGCTTGAAGTTATATACAACGCGAGTGAAAACATTGCGAAGCTCAAAACTCCCATTGTCAAGAACCTGCAGGTTACTGTTTCAAAGTTTTCATGGAACTATGGTGCTTGTGATTGTGATCGGTCTTCGTAATTCCGTTATTTCTGATCTGCAGGAGGTAAGTGAGAGCGAGTCGGCGTTGGTGTGGAGTGAGGTGAGTGAAGGAATTATGAGGAATGATTGGGAGAAAGCAAGCAAAGGCAAGAGAGACGTGGAGGAGAAGCAGAGAGAGTCTCGGAGGCAAAGAGAGGTTTCTGGATTTTCTTGGATTCCAAAGCATTTCTCTGTGGTTCGAGCGGGTAAGGAGTGGGACTGTGTTCCTCTACAGCCAACGGTTCCTCGAGCTCCTATCGTTGTTCCTCTCTGATTCACAACTAGTTCTCTCTAGAGGTCCTACACGAAGTAAGAACTCATGAGAAGTACAAACACAAAGTTGTAAGAGATTCTCAAACTGCAGATCAAAAAGAAATGAAAATTTACCAGTTTATCTTATAGTATAGCGGTTAATCAACTGCCAAAAGTTGTTCCACTTCGAGGAATGAACCGATCAAATGTCTCTAACCACATCCGTACGTTGAGTCACTGAGATAATATCTCTTTTTTGGTGGTTTGAGCAGTCAAGTAAACATACCGACCTATCTAGGCATAGATGAGAGCAGAGACACAACGAACTCATTAGCTTGCTTCAGCTTCCCACTGGAGCAGAGTGAGCTAACGGTTGAGTGAAGGCTGTGAAAATCATGAACATAGCCTTCCTTCTTTACCTCTTTTTCACTAACACCATTCAAGAACTGCAACCTTTGACAAGAACCTGAGTTTTTACCAGAAAGATAGAACGTGGAACTTATCTCATCTAGGATTTTAGCAGCCTGAGGGACCCTTCCTTGCTCACACAGCTCGACGAGGAAGCCTCCTATCGATTCAGATTCAACTAATTCTGCATCAACTCTGTTAATCAGCTCAACAACAGGTTCTGAAACAAGCATTTCTCTCAGGACGCTCCTGGCTTCTTCCATTCGCCCTTTCGTGCATAAGCCTTTGATCAGAAACAGAAAACCCAAGAAATCGGCTGAGACGTTTTTACCCTTGAACTCAGCAACCACTCTCAGAGCTTCTTCCATGTCACCTTTTTTACTGTAACCTTTGATCAAAGAACTGACTGTGAATGCGTCTGGTGTTACCCTTCCTATCATTTTACGAGATAAAATTTTCACGGCCTCCTCTGTTCTCCCGAGCTTGCAGTACCCGTCAATCATCGAATTGTAAATGAGAATGTTTGGTACAAGTCCCTTAGATACCATCTCGTCCAAAAATTTCTCAGCATCACGAAACAGCCCTTCCTTGCATAAACTGCCAATCAAAATTCCATAACTGACCGTAGACGGGATCAAACCAATGTTTTCTAGCGAATCAAATAGACGAAGAGCTTCTACAAGACAACCTTGTTGGCAAAGTCCATTTAGGAGTGAATTATATGTGATGATATTGAGAGTGATGCCTCTCTGTTTAGCAAAAGTGCACAAATCCAAAGCCTTTATCAGAAATCCTTCCTTGCAGAGACCATCGACTATGATCGTGTAATCGACAACATCCAAAGAAGGCAGAGTCCTTTCACCATCATTTACAACAAGTGAATACGCATCCAATGCTCTGAGATTGTCCACTAGTGCTTTTAGAAACGTAGAAGGAGATCTAACAGTTAAAACTTTTCTCTTCATAACCATATAAACTTCAATCGCAGCGTCGAAAGAACCTCTCTGGCATAAAAGCAACAAAGCATCATTGAACATCGCATTACAGATGTTCGAATTCAGCTGCTCGAGTCTATAAACCAAACCGAGTATTCCTTTTTCACCTCCGCATGCATGAACTGAATGTAACAAGGTACGAGATGTATGGATGTCCAAATACAAACCTTTTTCCAACAGCTCGACAAGAACTTCCGTGGCTGTTTCCAGCATCCCTTTCTTGCAGAGTGCATCAATGATGCGGTTATAACATACAGCTGAGGACACCGAGTTTTTCCTCAACTCATCAAACATCTCAAGTGCCTCTTCGATCTGACCCGTTTTGCAGCAGCACTCAATCATCGTTGAATACGTGACTGTGTCTGGAGTCAGGTCCATTTCTGGCATTGCCCTGTAAAGCACATCAGCTTCTCCATACGCACCCACCAGTAGAAAAGCTTTCAGGAGAATGTTGCACATAACCAAGTCCATAGGGATTTCAGCTTCTACAAATCTACGCCTGATTTCTAAAACAGCATCAACATTCTCTTCCTTGATGTAACCATCTAACAAAGTACTATAAGTAACGACATCTCCAGAAACCCCTTTCGAAATCTCATCGGCCTCCGACACTCTCCCTGCCCTGCACAGCCCACTAATCACAGTGTTATAAGTAAGGATGCTTGGTTTAATCCCTCTCTGCTCCATATCTTCCAACATGGAGAAAGCTCGACTCAAATATCCTTTCCTACAAGCTCCATCGATCAAAGTCACATACACAAACTCATCCACTTCGATTCCCATACTTAGAACTCTATCGAACAACGCATATGCCTCATCCAGTTTACCCTTTTTGCAGAGTCCTCTCATAATAGCAGTAAAAGTGATCAAATTCGGCTCTATTCCCTCCTTTATCATCTTCCCCAATAACCCCAAAGCTTTATCGATGCTTCCTTCCTTGGACATCCCATCTATCAGTATCGAATAGCTCACAGTATCTCGACTTATTCCCTTCTCCACCATTTTCCTTTCCTGCATAAGTGCATCCATTAATGCACCTCCCTTAAAGTACCCATGAATCCAATTACTGCAGAAAACACAGTCAAATTCAAATCCTTCATCTTCCAGTCTCCTAACCACATCCCTAACTTCATCAACCTTACCCAATTGACAAAGGGCGCTCACAATCGTAGTATAAGTAACAAGGTTTGGCACTAAAGCTCCAGAATCCATGGCAGTCTCGAAAAACCCTAACGCAAGCTCCGGTTTACCAATCTTACAAAACCCAGAAATCACAGCACTAGAAACGAAATTATCAAATGGGTAGTTTAGTTTTTTGTTCGTCATCATCTCTAAAACCTCGATAGCTTTACCCATCTCTCCTTTCGCAACGAACCGAGAAATCAGTGAAGAGAACGTCGAGGAAGAGGGAAACGCACCGTGAATCCGTAAGCAGTCCCGGAGAATCGAAAGGGCCTTATCGGGACCATCTCTCGTGACGCTGAACCCATAGATCAGAGAATCCAGCATGCGTGTCCTGGGGAAAATCGAGGCTTTTAAAATCAGGGTGTTGTTGATAAACGTCTCTGCGTCTTCGTATCTGTTCAAATTGAGGAATGCCCATGATACGATGGAGTAAATCCGGTGGTTTATGTGAAATTTCTTCGAATCTAGCTGAGAGTAGAAGTGAAGAATGCAATTAAACTTCTGGCGACGGTAAAGATATCGGAGAAATCTGTCGATGGAGTTTGAGGTGGGAGAGAAGCCGCTTTTGAGAAGCGACTGAAGAGAAAAGAGCCCCGAAGAAGTACGAGGAAGGAGCTTCATGGAAATTCGCAAAAGGATTCTCCTTTCGCTAAAATCACCATGGCAAAGAAAGATCACAGTAGTGGCCGCACTGAATCGAAACGAAGGAACTAAACGAGTACAGAACAGTCTCGAGCTTGCAACTTTGAAATTGGACCGGTATGGTTCTAATTAAACCGTATTATTTGGTTTAACCATTGGGTTACATTTCGTATGGGTTATCCGCAAACATTACATTTCGTATGGCTATATTTGTAAAACATTACATTTAGTGTTAACACTTTATTTCATGATATACATATACACAATATATAAACTTGTTTTTAGAGATCAAAGATCTAAAGATTTCACAGGAACAAGGATGAGATCATGTTTCTTGTGGGTAGTGAGTCCAGCAGTTTCGTCCATATCAATATCTTCAACCTCCACACCTTCCGGTAACTTCCAATCAAACTGATACAAGAGATTCGCAAGAACAAACTGAACCGATGCTGTCCCCATGTACACTGCCGGACAAATTCTCCGACCACTCCCAAACGGTAACAGCTCAAAGTGTTGCCCTTTTACATCAGTGTCACAATCCATAAACCTCTCTGGGATAAACTCTTCTGGATCGCGCCCAATAGCCCATACGTTGACGTGAAGCCTTGTCTTGGGCTGAATCGTGTAGCCGTTGATCTTAAATTCAGATATTACTTCTCTTGGCACTAGAAGAGGTGATACCGGATGTAACCGCCACGTTTCTTTGATCACCATTTTCAGGTAATTTAGTTGATCTGTCTCATCTAAGCTTATGGTTCTTGCTTTGTTGTTTTTCCCTATTAGGTTTCTGATTTCGGATTGAACTTTCTTCATCACTCGAGGGTTTCTTGCGAGTTCCGCCATTGCCCATGCCATGGTTATTGCAGAAGTATTGATTCCCCCCTAGGAGAATGTTCTACAGACAAAAAGATAGTTCATATCAAAACATTATAAACCCTAAACTCTGAAAAAGGGAAAAACATTATCAAAGATATGAACTACTTGCTTACTGGTCCATACAAATTTAAAAGTTTATGAAATATGACTTAGTATACTTACCATCAAGATACCTTTGATATGGTCTCTTGTGAGTTTGCCATATCCAAGAACAGCTTCTTCCTTTTCCAACCTCAAGAGCAAGTCCACAAAATCATCTTCACTTCTTGCTTCTCTGTTTTTCTGTAGATGTAAATCAATCATTTGTTCATAGAAAGCATCAAGATCTCGCGCACACTTGTCTCTCCGCGCGTGTAAACCCTTGAACCAATCGAAGATCCAACCGATATACGGGAAAAACTCAGAAGCAGAGAAGCGTCCTAAGAGCTCAAGTGTCTGATGGACTAAATCTTGGAACTTTTCATTGTTGAGCACGGTTCCTTGAAAACTGACACCAAATGATGCCTTGCAAATCACGTTAGCATTTAAAGAAAGAAACGTGTCGCTTAAGTTAACAGGAGTTTTCTCAAAAGCAGATTCAGTGATTGAAGCAATCAGTTTCTTCATCTCCATCTCCTTGATGGGTTGAATCGACTGAACACGTTTAGGACTAAAGAGTTCTCTAATACATAGCTTCCTTAATTCTTTCCAATAGTCATCATATCGAGAGAAAGCAATGTCTCGATAGTTATAAGAAAGCTTTCTTGCACCTGACAAAAAAAAAGAACTATACTAAAGAATCAAAGAGAAAAGAAATATGAAAGTATATGTACGGTACCTTTAACGCGTGGACGGCTACAACAATGGAGGTCATGTTCTCTAAGAACTTGTTTTGCTGTTTCACGGGAAGAAACTACAACTGTTGAAACTCCTCCAAGTTTCAGTAGCATCACAGGACCATACTTCTTTGAGAGTCTCCACAGAGACTGATGTGGTAATTCTCCGAGCTGGTGCAAGTTGCCGATGATCGGTAAGCCAGGAGGAGACGGTGGTTGCCGCCGCCGCCACCGCTTAATGTGATTTACGGCGGCGATAAGGATAGAGATGAGGATGACAAGTGATAGAAGCCAAATGGTAGCCATATTTTACACGTTTCACGTTTGTAAACTGATGATGAAGCAAAGCTCTTGTTTTTATATACACACATTTTGTCACCAGATTTGTAAAGAGATAATATATTTATATTACTATCCACGATAAACAAAAAGATAAAATGTTATTTTCACTATATGGCACAAAAATTTCTCGACTATTCGTGCTAAATTAGTAATAGCTCAAATTACAACAACATAAATGGGTTCACACTAACCAAAATATGGCTAAAACGACAATAACCAATTCTCCTTAACCAAAAATCTCTGCTTTTTTTTTCTTCTTCTCATTATACTAAAATCTAAAAAAGCAGAGTAACCTGTCCCATCAAAGAGGACATTAAATCCCAGAAGCATTTTCAGATTCTTCAGAAAATTTACAGTAATCTGCGATCCATCCAGTCTAATCCAATCTAGAGATAATCTGGAAGCGTTTCATTACGGTTCCAAGAATCGTATGGTTCGGTTTCAATAACTTGTGCCTGGCTTTATACTTGTGTCTGGCTCTATGTCTCTCTCACTCAGACCACTGTGTTCGTGTAGTTTGGGAAGAGTCTGACCAGTTTGTGAACAGAATCTGAATGAAACTTCCTTGCGAATAGATAACATGGTCGTCTAATTCCGTTCCATGTACAAGGCCAACGCAGCTCCTCTCCACGCTAAAAAAAAAAAACAGAAAACCCAAAACATAAATGAGGAAAATACATTTCACATTTTCATAGTTTTCAAATGCAGTAAACGAGTAATGTACGTACCTTGCCAACGCTTGTTACGTGTACACTCATGTCGTCGGACTGCAAGAAACCGAGGAGGGAAAGAAAGTATATATCAAAAAAAGAAACGAAAGAAAGGAGATGGAGAATTTGGGTAGTTTCTTATTGAATTTGTACAATGAATTACAGAGAGTGTATAGTAATCTAATGAAACACTTGTAGGAGTGTGGTTGTGACATTTACCGTGATGTTTTTCAAGAACTTGAGTGAGACATCACGAGCTCTGTATGTCTTTGGATGCCATCTACGCTCAGACCAATCAACATATGTGACTGACCAGTTCGAAATACCTCCAGGATCAAGCATCTTTCAGTAAGAAGAAGAAGGAAAAAAAAACATTTCATCAAGGGGATATAATCAAAGTTGAACAAAGGGAAACAGAAAGAGAGATGTTGTTTTAATCGATCCACTCACATGGAAGAACGTAGGCAGGTAATGTTCATCCGCAATGCAATTCTTATTCGCTTCTACCCCAGGCTGAAATTGTTAATGTGAGAGTTTTCAAATCAGGATCAGAGTAAGACTAAACTGAAACTTTTGTCGATATTATTAGCTTAAGATAACTTCTAGTGACAGAACTCAGTCATGAACAGTTAGGGCGATAAATAGGCTACATCATGCAAATTAAAACTGCGATGCAAAGGAAAACCAAACTTACTCTGCAATACTCGCGGAACTTCGAGTAGTAGAGATTATCAGCCATCACTATTAAAGCGTGTTGACGCTTCATTGTGAACCACTGCACCAATATAGACAAGTCGGAGTTACAGAACTATCCACACATTTTCGAAGTTTCCACTACCAAACAGAAACAATCCACAAAAAAATGCAGAGATAAAGTTAAAAGAGTGTTTTACCTGAGCACCCTTTCTGAAATCTTGCCTGGGGATTTCAGGTAACATGTGATCCATGTGTCTGCCAGTCCCGTGAGGACCACGATCCACAAAACTTGAGAGACAGAGAGAAGAGAAACATGCATTGATGAATATTAATGGAGAAAAAATCAAATATAGTGCTAGAAAGATATATATTTATTTAGTCATTTATATACCTGTCAATGAAGCTAACATTTCCGTGCATCAGATATCTATAAGTATAGTCAAACGTATGCAACGGTATGCAGCTGCAATGTTAAAAAAAAGAGAGATGTAAAAAAGAGAATGTAGCCGGGAAATAAAAAGTCATGTTTTTGGTCTTAAGACTCAGCAAAGTTTGATTGCTCACCTCTCTGACAGAAGAACAAAGTGTTGGTTGTCAGGATCTTCAAGAGCGTTTGCAAGAAGCCTCCTCTCAGCATCAACCATCGAGATCCTTCCCCATGTGACCTGATCACTGTGAATCTCTCGGTCTGAAAAGTGACGGCTGATGTGAACTGGTCGTAACCTTGATGGATGAATGTAAATAGAGAATCTCCCTTCTTGACCCTTCACATCATCGAACAAAACCAGTCAAAAAAAACCAAACACAGGCAAATCAAAGAAACTAAAGATGTTTCAGAATCTTTGTTGTTGTTGTTGTAACCTGGAAAAACTTATCCCAGAGCTTCTCAAATTGCAAAGTACCAGGAGTCAAGAACATGAAAGCTATTTTCGATTTGGGGGTTAGAGCAGGAGGAGTTCTGAGTATGTCTCTGATCACGACTCGAGCCGCGACTTCTTCGTCTGTGTGTTTCCTCACGTGAACAGGGAGCCATCCCGAGAGCGCAGCTTCACATCCTCTGCTAGACAAACCTTTGCAAGACGAGCTCTTGCTGTTGTGCTGTGGATACATGTAAGTGCAGACCAAGAGCACACTTGTGATGCATACTGATAGAACAATCAGTAAAGGCTTCTTTAGAGAAGACCGGTTTCTAAGAGGCGAGTGCAGGTTCTGTGTTTCGCCCATTTGAAATCTCGATCAAAGGTTGAATCTTTTTTAAACTTCTTTACATTGAGCAAAACCTGCAGAATTTTCGACCAAACAACATCAAAATGACAAAATTTAGAAACATGAATCTTTTATCACTCACCAATACGGATTAAAAAGTAAGGAATGTTTAAACGTAACTCTCTTCAGATACAAGCAACTAGAACATGTATTTAATTCGAAGTCCCACACGTTTTGGTGTAACAATTATACGGATTTTAAGAAACCCAAATCTAACGGAGCAAATGCACGTTGTTCTTGTGATTGAAAAAGGAGTAAGCAAGAGATTTCTCACCCCCGCACGTACGACGCAATTGAGCAAGTCTCGTGATTTTGCTCCACACGAATGCCAAAATCCGAAGCTATACACAAAAGTAGAATTAATTTGCAAACTATCAGATTCGATTTTACAGAAATGGTGAAGAAAGAGGAAAGGCACACTGGACCAAAGCATTTATCAGCGAAGCGAATTTTAGGAGTTATTACAGTACCTGTAAAAAGCTGAATTGTAATTGGACTAGACAAAAATAGAAACTTTGTCCGAACCCAGATCTCAAAAAAACGAAAGCTTGATGATCTATAGCTTTAAAAGATCTAGGGCTACAAAGAAATCAGAATGACAAGTCGAGACTAAGGAGAGAGAGGGAGATAACGAACAGGAGTGAGAGAGAACTGATGTTAATATAAAAAATCTGAGTGTCCAGTGAAGAACATACAAGTATTTGTTTATCGAAAGACGATTTCAGATCCTCGATTTGTTTTCTCTCTCTTCACTTTGAAATTAAGAAAAGAAATCAACCATATGTGTGTTTAGACTTTTCTTTTAAATTATTTGGATGAAACTAAATAAAAACTTTTAAATTATTTTTCTGGTATAAAAACTACCACCAGTCGATTTTTTCCAATGATGGTGTGGAATCAGAAGAAACTAGAAATATAGAAAAGAACATTAATTCTTAAAAAGAAAAAAATTACGTAAAATTATCTATATATAATAACAATCTGAATAAATGCCAATTGCACTTCGAAAAGTTGTATCTTTTCAAAATTTGTGATTGTGTTATTTCATTACTAATGGTTGCGTCTTTTCATTAACTATAATTTGTGTCTTATCAAAACTGTTTATATCGCTTAAAACCACAGAAAAAAATTATTTGGGTCTAACTTTTACTTTCTTACTATAATAGGTTTATTAGGTTTAACTTTTTTTTTTGTCAAACAGGTTTAATTTTTATTTTTTTACCATAATGAGTTTATTATTACAATAAGCTCTGAAATAATGAAATTTTTTATGTCAGCATTATTTTATATGAAATAAAATCTAATAATTCAAGAGTTGTGTTTTTTTTCCTACTAAATCAAACATTTTTTTATCTTTTAAATATACATTTTATCTATCTATAATAATTATTTGGGTCTAATTTTTATTTTCTTACTATAATGATGACCGGTGAGAAAACTGGTAAGTATGCGAATAAATGTCACTTGCAAAACATAAATATTTGAATAAATGTCATTTATCCTTTACCAGATTGTGTCGTTTCAAAATGTGTGGTTGTGTCTTTTCATTATAAATGGTTGCCTCTTTTCATTATAAATGGTTGCTCTTTTTCATTATAAATAGTTGCATTTTTTCATCACAACTGTTATTTGTGTCTTATCAAAACTATTTATATTGTTCAAAACCACATAAAAAATTTATTTAGATTTAACTTTTATTTTCTTACTATAGTGGATTTATTATTATAATAAACTGTGAAATAATGAAAGTTTTTAAGGTCAGCATTCTTTTCTATAACATCAAATCTAATAATTCAAGAGTTGTGTTTAGAAAGACTATTTGCATTTTGACAAGTTGTGTGGTTTTAAAATTTGTGGGTGCATACTTTCAATATAAATAATTATATTTTTTCATTATTAATGGTTGCATTTTTTTCATTACAGATAATTTGGATCTATTCGAATTATTTATATAATTCAAATCGCATAAAAACCATTATATCTATAATAATAATCCAAATAAATACCACTTTAAAAGTTGTGTCGTTTCAAAATATATGGTTGCGTCTTTTCATTATAAATGGTTATGTTTTTCCAACACAACTGTTATTTGTATATTTTCAAAGCTATTTTTATTGCTTAAAACCACAGAAAATATCAATTGGGTCTAACTTTTATTTTCTTACTATAGTGGATTTATTATTGAAAGATTGCTTATATATTTATTTTTTGCTTTACACTTTTTTGCGAATACAAATTTTTAATAATTATAAAAATAGTTTAAAAATCACATATTTATATCATATTTTTAGATTGTATATTTTCATATTTAAAAAGTTATGTATCTTATTAATTTTAAGTTTTTTTATTTTTTCTATTAATAATTAATAGTAACAATCTTTTTATCTTAATTAGTTTCTACATTTTTCTTTAGAACTTATTGTTAATAATTAAAAAAAATATATACCTTTTTATTTTAATCATTATAAATTATTTTGAATGTTTATATTTTTATTATTATTTTATATTTTACTTATAATTATTTTAAATAAATTTTAATTTAATTTTTAATATATCGCAAATTAATCCCCCGAAGCGGGGTCCCTTTTCCTAGTTCTAAAAAAACAAAGAGAAAATTCCAAGTTGAAATTTAAAATGGCCCTCTTTTCTACAGTCGCCGATCCTATGGACATAATTTGATTTCTCCTACAGTTTATCCATAATGTTACAGCTTACCAAAACAAAGAAAATAAATGATGTCCATAATATTTACTCTAATATGGTTCAACTACTTTGTTCCTGGTGAAAAATCTAACAAAAGTTGAAAATTTTAGCTTGTTACCTGCTGGATACAAGGTTAGTATAATATCGACGAATGAAAGTAAACGACAAAGACTATATACTTGATACTTCTAATCTCTGACTTTACATTTTATCAGTTAACTCATCATGAGTGAGCTTATTATTATTCGGGACTATACACAGAATTGAATTTATGCGAAAGATATATAAGAAGTTCAACTTTTTGTAGTTAAAGCAAAAGCTACATTTTGCACCCCAAAGAAAGCAAAAGCTATAAGAGAAGTAAACTGTTTAGGCCCAAAACACATTTTGAAGCTTTAAGGCTGGTTTGGGAAAATTGGCGCAACTAACCAAACCGGGACGTCTGAGAACCACAATGATCTAGTTGGTTTAACCGGTCCGACCATCAAAGAGGATTTTGCAAACATCATCAACAAAAGAAAAGTTTTGATTTTTTTTGCACTAAACCCTAAAAAAGCTTCAACGCCGTTCGTTTGTTGCGATTCTTCTTCCTCTCTCTTACTCTTCCAAACCTCAGTCCCAGGTAAGAACCTTCTTCGATTCCCCGCTTCAATCAGCAATATTCGTTTCTTCTGACTGCAATTCTCAAAATACATCGATTGATTAACCGAGTTTTTTTCTTTCACAGCTCCAGAATCTACACTGCTCTAAGCGCAATGTCAACTCGGCCGGAGTTACTCGCGCCGCCGGAGATATTCTATAACGAATCAGAGGCTCGGAAGTATACTTCTTCATCACGTATCGTTGAAATTCAGGTTTTCTAATTGCTTCCCCTGAAGAATAATATATCTCTCAGTTTCTCCCTTGAAATTCAGCTCTTGTGTACACTCTTATATATATAACCCCTATGCTTAAACATTTATGGGTTATAGGCGAGGCTTTCAGAGAGAGCTTTGGAGCTTCTTGCTTTGCCCGAAGATGGAGTCCCTAGGTTGTTGCTCGACATTGGTAAACAAAAAACCACTTTTGATCTACTGATGATGAGCAATGTTGATTCTTTAATAAACACTCCTCCCTGCGTTTCAACAGAGTCTATGAACAAACGAATCAGTGTATCAAAGCACATATTTGGACTAAATTTTGTATCTAAAGTTCGATTAGTATCTTTGGTTGCAAAAGTAGAGAAAATGACCAATCTTTATTGTGGTTTAGGTTGTGGATCTGGTCTGAGTGGTGAAACACTCTCTGAAAGCGGGCACCAGTGGATTGGTCTTGACATTTCAGCCTCAATGCTTAGTAAGTTTCATTATTAGTTTCATAAACGCTCCTATTCTTTATGAAGTATTGTTCTCTTCATCTTTTATCTCTTGTAGATCTCTATGCTCATGTTTATCTTTTATTAACAAATGTAGACGTTGCTGTGGAACGAGAAGTTGAGGGTGATCTCTTACTTGCTGACATGGGACAGGTATATATATATATATATATATATGCATTCACTTTTCATCGTTCTCATTGAGATTTGTCTCTCTGGCTGTTGGATTTTTCGTTGTTGGTAAAGATGAATGTTGACATATTAGCAATTAATGTCACAGGGCTTAGGTATTCGTGCAGGAGTTATAGACGGAGCCATCAGTATATCGGCTGTTCAGGTCTTACTTCTCAAACTACTTTATCATTCTCTTGCTCATCCAGGAGATATGATTCTTTGTAGTATATACTTGCATTGAACATAGTTTTTGTACTTGGGACACAATTTTATGTTTATTGTCTGACCGGTTCTTCCTATTTTTCTTGACTTCAGTGGTTATGCAATGCGGACAAGTCATCGCATGAACCTCGTTTGAGGCTAAAGTATGTGTAATTCATTTAAACTTTGGGTTGAATCAATAAGAGAAGTGTGATACACAACTGATCATTTTGAACTTTCAATTTTTTTAAAGGGCTTTCTTTGGGTCACTATACCGATCCTTGTCAAGAGGAGCAAGGGCAGTTTTCCAAGTGTACCCTGAGAATATAGCTCAGCGTGAATTGATTCTTCGTCAGGCCTTACAAGCTGGATTTGGCGGTGGGCTTGTTGTTGACTATCCTCACAGGTACGTTCTTGTGCAAGCTATTTGTGGCGTCACATTTGATCGTCGTAAACACACATTAACAACACTTGGGATGCTCTTTCTGTTAAACTGCAGTACAAAGAAGAGAAAAGAGTTCTTGGTCCTCACATGTGGTTCTGTACCAACCAGTATCAACGAAGGGTATAAAGAGAGTGGCTCGGAGGATGACGATAGCGAAGACGAAGACAACGGAATGGTAAAATATCCAAAGTGTCATCACCGTCTTTATTACTAGTTACTGTCGAATCTAAAAGTCTTAATTTACCATTTTTGCGTAAAGGTGGGTGTATCAGATAGGAGTCGGCCGAGGAAGAAGCAGAGAACGAACAAGAAAGGGAAAGGAAGGGAATGGGTTCTGAGGAAGAAAGAACAAAGTAGAAGAAAAGGAAACGATGTTCCTGCTGATTCCAAATACACCGCCAGAAAACGCAAGTCGCGTTTCTGATTTTTGTTTATGACTCTTGAAACGCAAATTTATAGCGTTTTATTTTAAGTTTTGTCGTTAAAAAGAAGAAATACTGAACATTCTACTGTTTCAACATTATGTGTGTACTCAAACCAATTTTGTGGCTAATGCTTTATAATTTGCGTTAAGCCTTGTCCTCTCCCTTGTGTTTCTTTGTTTTAACTTCTAAATTAATAAATTTCTTAATTTATCCGGAATATCCAGAGGGTTATTTGTTATTGAAAGATTAATATTACTTTATTAAATTATTATCATGCATTTCAGCAATTTAACCATTTATTTTGGTAAGCACCTACAACTTTTGGAAAAACTGTAGAAAATATACAAATGTATGAACAACAATATCTTAACAACTATGCCTAGATAAACTCTACAAAATACAACAATATCGCTTTGAAGGGTTTGATCAAAGCGAGGAGATGGCGGCGGTTAAAAACCGAATTTGGGGTTGCAGTTTGTGACCAGAAGGATAACAACAACGTTCTGTTTAATACAAATGGAATGATGTATCTTCCTCGTCAAGGCAAAACAGCTAAGAAGAAAGAGCATTGCGTGATCTGTTTCGACGACATTGATTCCGATCTCATGTTCTACGCCGTTAGCTGCGGTCATCGGTTTTGCTCTGAATGTGTAAAACGACACATTGAAGTGAAACTGGTCGATGGAGAGATACCGAACTGTCCTCAGCATCGGTGCAAGTCTCTCCTTTCTATCGATGATTGCGACGAGCTTTTGAATCCCAAACTGAGTTTGATGTGGATGCCGAAGATCGACGAGTCCTCTGTTCCTCTCACAGACAGAGTTTACTGTCCGTATCAAACCTGCTCTTATCTAATGTCCAAAACCGAGCTTTCTCTTTCTCTCTATGCTGAAAAATCTTCAGGACGTAGGAGATGCTTCAAATGCGGTGGCGACTTCTGTGTCCACTGTCAAGTTCCATGGCATAGCGAGCTATCGTGCGACGAGTACAAGAAGTTGCATCCTAATCCTCAAGAAAGCGATGATGCAAAGCTAAGATCTTTGGCAAACCTTAATAAGTGGCGTCAGTGTCCAAAGTGCCAACACATGGTTGGACGTTCTTACGGATGCATACGCATAACTTGCAGGTAGTATATAATATATAGTCGAATTTGATTATTATTATGTTATGGCATATATAAACGTTGCGGTTCATGCATGACGTGATTTTTTTTGTCAACATTTTAGGTGTGGAACTGCTTTTTGCTACGCTTGTGGTTCCGAATGGAGGAGCGGTTTCCATAGCGACTGCGTTTATTGCAACCAATACGGCGGATCCCTGGCTGGGTTTATTACTGTGTTGTTTCTTACTTTACTTGCTGGTTCGGTGTTATACTTCTTAGGCGCCTAAAATGATACTACTGTACTAGTTTCTTTTTCATGAAATTACAAATAGCACTCTAATATTTGGATTTTGTGGTAATCTCGGATGCTCAGTTTTATATACGTTAAGTATCTGAATCTGTTGATTGTGAAGCTATTTAACTTCTTGATGGGGGAATTATTCATCTATCTTTTATTATAAGCAACGAACATTTAATCAATTGATCAAATATGGAAAAAAGTGACGTATTTAGTAAGGCTAAAATATGTTTTGCATAATTCAGGTTAAAAAAACCAGAAACACATTTCTGACATTACATTATAGTCTTTTTTGCCAAAAGGTTCGATCTCAAAAAGATTTAAGAACAAAAAACAGAAAACAAGAAAATATTTGAGATCAAACACCTCAAAAAACTAAGGCTTCTTTTGTGTGGTCTCTTAACCAAAGAGATCAAATCCAAAGTCTCCTTCTTCCTCTTCAGATTCTTCCTTCTTCTTCTCTTCCTCCTTTGCGGCTGCGGCGGGCTCACCTCCACCACCGCCTCCTCCGGCTGCTGCACCTCCTCCGGAGGCAAATCCTCCTCCAACAGCACCACCGATAATCACCTGCTCCAAATCAATTATTCTATTAAATCAAAAGGGTCCAATACTCGCATTTCAACATATTAAACTATCTTCACCGATTCAAAATGAGTTTTTATTGGGTTTAGTTATTACTAATAAGTAAAATGATAAATCAAAGCGAGAAAAAATTGAGAAATTGATTAGAGGAAACGATCACTGGATCTAAGTATCCAATGAAGATAATTAAAGCAATGTACATTGGAGAAAAATCTAGATTCAAAAATTGTTCTGAGACAACGTTATACAAATTCGGTTCAACTATTGAGCCAAACATAGTATGATCACAACAATGAACTGATCATCATAACCACAAGAGCCACTGTGCAGATCTAGCTAACATTCTTTCATTGAGCAAATATCAAAAACCCGAACGCGAGATCCAGCAATCAAATAGATGAGATAATGAAGCGATCGAGAAACCTGGAAGACGGCGGAGGTAGGGGAGACGAGAGAGAAAGAAGACTGAACGCCACCGGAGGAATCGGCGGAGAGAGCAGTCTGAACAAGCTTGCGCTGGAGATCGAAAGTGGAAGAAGCAGAGGCTTCGAGGTCACCCTCGTGTTGCTTCGCGGTCCATTCTCCGCCTTTGCTTTTGCACACGAAAGTGTAAACTCCCATCTTCTTCTTCTTCTTCTTCTTCTTCTTCTTCTAACGGCGGCAAGATTTAAGACTAGTCTCAGGGGAAAAAGAGCCTAGTGCCTTTATATATCAATTGATTTCACGACGCAGTGAGAGAATCTCCTACAAACCCTAGAACAATACATAAACGGGTCAGATCAATTAATTTGAGCCCACTAAACACTCTACTGGGCCTCATACAGAGACCTTTATTATGTAACTGAGTGGTTGGATTAAATCACTTGAATGAGGATTTGATGATTGATATTTATTTACTTTTGTAGTAAAATGGATGTTGTTGTGAAATTTTGAATAAAGGGTTTCATTGACAATTTTTTCGAAACAAGAGAACTTCTAAAACAACAGTGAAGCGGAAAAAACATTAAAGTGAAACAAAAATTCTCCAAAAATAGAGACAACAACTCAACAACTATGAAGCAAATCCGGCCTTGAGCGAGCGTATAGCTTTATTATTGTTACCTATGAACTTTCACAGTTTCTGTTTGAAATAGAGAAACGCAGAAGCAAAAGAGAAGAAAAAAAGTTTAGAGCTTTATGGCAGAGTGAATGGCGACAACTCCACCAACAAGGTTCTCGTACTCCACCTTCTCAAATCCTGCGTCTGCGATCATCGATGCAAATCGCTCCTGCATTCATTTTTTTTTACCAAATCTAGCCATTACAAACCTGCTTTATACTTCAAACCTCTAAAGAAAGGTAATCAAAAAGTTTTCTACCGCGTTTCCAAGAAAAGGAAATCAAGAAGTTAGAACGAACCTGAGGAGGAAACCGACGAACACTCTCAACCAAGTACTGATATGATTCACGGTCACCGGCAATCAGTTCCCCTAAGTTTGGAATCACCTGGAAAGAATACAAATCGTATCTGCAACACACAAAAAACAAAACGTGAGGCTTATCAAAAAGACTTGGGCACTTACTTCCACAACATCTTCTAATCATCAAAACTTACAGATCTTTGAAGACCGGAATGTCTACATGGCTTAGCTCAAGGCACAAGAATCTTCCTCCCCGTTTTAGTACCCTGACAGTGTGAAAAGAGTTTTAAACATGAATCTACACCCGAACAAAAGCTTTTTCCGACACACTAACATCAAGAACAAAAGAAGGTGTGTGAATATTTGTTGTACCTATAAGCCTCTGCGAGAGCCTTTTCGATGTGTGTGACATTCCTTATTCCAAATGCAATAGTGTATCCATCCATCGAATTGTCATCGAAACTCAGGGCCTCTGCATCTCCTTCCACCCATACGAGTGACTTGTTATCTCTTAGACCTAGTTAGATATAGTAAAAGAAGCCAAAGCTCACTCATAAGACGCAACTATAAAAAAAAAAAAGGATCAAAGAGGAGGATAGAGATATTTTTGATGCACAAAACAAAACATCTGATGTTTTCACCTCTCTCAGCAGCGCGCTGTTTCCCAACGTTTAACATGTTGGGATTAATGTCACATACGTATATCTGAGTTTCTTCAAGTGAAGCCTCGTCAACTTTCTGCAATGCTCTTCGTTTCACACTGTAAACAGCATCATAGATCCTAAACGCAACATCACCTGCATGTTTTAAAAAACAATCTCTTAACAATATCTATGACAAGTGTATAGAACATTTTCAACTACAAGAAAAGATCAATTTGGTTAGACTAACCTGTTCCACCGGCCACATCAAGATGCTTCATCCCTGCAAATGGACTCAGCTTCCCAACGAGTCTGAAAATCACAAGACCACCACCAAAAGTGTGTCAACATTTACACAAGAAGCAACTCGTTACACTTGTAATCAAAGCATCACGGGTCCTAACCTTTCCTTCCATAGCCTATGCAAGCCACCGCTCATCACATCGTTCATAATATCATAACTCGAAGCTACGTTGGTGAAAACGTTACCAACCAATTTGCTCTTCTCTTCTTCCTTTACTTCTTGAAACCCTGAAATCAAAACATCGAAGTTAAAAGTCACACTGTAAAACCCAAAGAGAAATCAACAATCTGGATACAAAAAGCATTTCGTTCAAGTATGAAACACAAGATCTTGAATCGAAAGTCATCCACATGAATACTGAACAACCAAATCAAGAGAGAAAGGATAGATTTTGAGAGCAATACCGAAACTTGTGGCGTGAGAATGAAGCGAAGAAATAGAGGAACGATAACTCAAAACTCTGCTCCCCAGCCTCCTGCTTAGTGATCGAAGTGCCATAGCTTCTACAGAAATTATAGTCCTCTACTTCAAAATTTTGTTCCTGCAACCAAATCCCACAATACGAATAGTGAAACTGAAGAAGAAGCTGCAAAATTAGTTCTGAAAGTGAACCGAGAACACAAACGCTTCGAAAACCAAACACCTAATTTGAAATCTAACCTTCAAAAGAAAGCTCGACGAAGATGGGGGACGTTCTAATTTAGACTCGAGAACAAACGACGAATCAAGAGATATAACAATGAAATCGGATTAAAGAAAATCCCAAATTTCGTCGACTCACAGCTCCGAGATCGAGTGTGGTGTTACACAGTGCACGTGTTGTTGATGCAGGACATATCGGTGCCGGTACCGGACCAAAGTTTTGACCGAGGAAGAACGACGAGTTTTGTTTGACACTCTAATCACCACGGCGTATAGATTGGGCCTTATGTAATTACGTATAGGCCCATTACGTTTTTGTTCCGGCCGACGATTTAATTCTTTAAACCGTAAAACTTTATAAATTAAATAATGTTGAGAACATATTAATTTATAAATATATTATTTAATTAATAAATTAAATTAATTTTTAAAAATATTAATTTATAAAAAAATTACTGTAATATCAAAATTCATAGTAGAAATGAAAAAACAAAAGGATTAGAAAAATACACTCATTCAAAGTTTTATAGGAACAAACGGCTCGATTGATCAGTTGAGTAAAATATGCAGAACCTATTCTGATTTCACGAGGATGTAGAAGAATCACATCTTATGAATAAGAGTGAGACGCATCGCAGCGAAGGAAATAAAAAAAATGAAAATACTTAAATGTTGAAACATGAAAGGATGATAAGCTAGGAGATTTTGAAGAATTAATTCAATCAAAGAAGAAAATAATATTCAAAGATTCTCTTACAAAAAGATGGAAAATCATTTACTAAATTTAGTCAAAATTTTATTTTTGCTGACCGGTATATCCTTCCAATTGTTGTTTTCAAACCTTTCAAATTATTTTCCAAAATGTTAAGAAATATTCAAACTAGTTAATAAGCTACCAATTATTCACCACCTAAATTATACTATAAAATCTAATAAATTAACTTATAATTCTTTCTAATTAATACCTTACCAATTATTCACAACCTAAACTACACTATAAAAACTTATAAATTAGCTTCACTGCTAAGAGAGAAAATTAAAACTCATCTAAAAATGCAAGTTTTTGTTAAGTTTGTATTATTTGCTCTCTGTCTTGCCGTTGTTTTCCGTAAGCATACACCATATCTCTTACCAATTACATAAATTTCAAACAAACTAAAAGAATTTTACTTATCTGTTTCTTCTTTTTTTACCAATTATTGAAGTCAATTTTTTGTCGATGAGAAGCATATTTTTAAATCATAACTGAGAATGGAGAAAATTATATAAAACTTTGATTTATTTATCCACTTTTTCGTTTTCTAAATACTAATTTTCTTTTCTTTGAGGATAAAATTAATTGATTTACTTTTTTTTTTTAAAGAACAACATCTTGCATGGCAACCAGATCCGAATGATTGCTGCAGGACTATATGCAAAGGAGGATATTGTGATGGTGAGATTTGTTGGTGCCATGGTAAACCACCAGGTGGTGGCATCGGTGCTTCTAAACATCATTGTGTTCCAGGACATAAAGGTTGTGATGGTGCAAGACTTCTTCCACCTGCACCATTGAGAATTTAAATGATAAAAATGTATCTTATTATAAGTAATTTCCCTAAATAAAATAACATTTTTCTTAAGAATTTTGATGTGTTAATCTGTTGATGATCATATAAGTTATTATTTATCATTATACATCAAAATAGATTAAAAGATCATATTTTTATACTTATAAATCACAAGTCAGTTGTGAATTGTTAGTCTGACACGTGTTTTTTTTATAGTTTAAAATCGATTTTTATATTTTTAATATTTTAAAATATTTTCAATTAGTTATATTTTTTGTTTTTCACCGGCTGGATCCACGAGCGAGACCACGATTATAAATTTAGATTCGTAAAATGTGTTGTGCAATCCAATTTTGACAAGTGTCAATTAATTAGAATAAGTTATTATAAAAAAATTAATTTATTGAACGAAAATTTTGTTTTCACTATCTCTTTAAACAGTTACCACACGATCTCTTTAATTACTTAAATAAACATAATTTTATATCATTAAATAGTTAACATTTTCTAAAATCCATCTTAAATTCTTCTCAAAATTACAAAAACAACTAAAAAAATAACAGTAGGAAAGTTAAAATGAGAGTAAACACAAAACTCTTTACATCTTTTTTTAGTCAATGTCATCATTATATTTCCACCTTTGGAAGAATTTTTCCACAGCGAGAGTTTGTGACTGTGATCAATTAGTCTCTTCTTCCAGAATCTGAAGTTTTCTCTTCTGAACTATTGATTAGTCTTTATACTTAAACTTGCTTAAGAAAGTTTCTATTTTTCCTTTGTTCAGTTTTTAACACATTGTTAACTTAATTATAATATTTCAGACATTAAAAAAAGTACCAGAATTGAAGAAGAGATATTTTTCAGCTTTACGGCGCTGGGAAACAGATTCCAGAATGTTAGGATCATCTGGTAAATCTATGAGAAACCCCATTGTGATAATGATTTTTTTTTTCTCTCTCTTAAATCTTTTGGGGATTCAAAGCCGCATAGTCTTTAACGTACGGTGATAAATTGATGATGATGATGGCTTTACATAGTCTTTAAAGAGAAATCAATTTGAACAAATAGAAGATGAAGTTTAAAAATCTCTAAAGACAATTGCTTTCTCTGATTTTTTTGTATATGTAATAATAAAGTGTTCATCTTTCGTTGGTTGTGAATTTGTGATTGTAGAATATGAAAATGGTTGTGTTATTGGAGTAACATCGATGAAGAAACTTCTCGAACAGGAAATAGAATTCAATCTTCCCACAGAAATTTTTCAGCAAAGATCTTTGGTAGTCTCTGATTAACTGAATTTTTAATTGGTAAGATATTCAATTTACACTCACATAATAGTTTTAAAGTAATTCAGTGTATATATTTAAAATAACTTTGTTTTAAATAGATTCAGAGCTAACTTCATTAGATTGAATTTACAATCTTTAGGCTTATTAATGCAGAGGAAAATTATGTTATTAAATTAGAACTCATCTTTTGTACTCTCTCCTAATTTACAGTTTAACAATTTCAATTTGATATTTTATTTTATTTTATTTTTATGTTTTTAAAGTTTATGTATCCAAAAATATATATCAGTTTTATGTATTCCACAAATATATCTTTCAAAGTTTTAATAAATTTTCAGATGACAATAACAAAAAAAAAATGTTCAGAATAACTTTATTAAATATGTAGATTTGAATTATATTGAAAGGCACTTCAAGTGATAATATGTAAATAATATGATCAAACATAATATAATAAATTTTTTAATTGAAATTTTACTAGATTCAAAATACAGTATTAAACATTTTATTTTTTTGTTAAATGATAGTATTTTTTTTCCATACATAGTACAGGTCAATACTAGTAAATTAATAATTCCACAAAAAAAACATTTGACTTTTTTTGACAAAAACAATGTTTGTTCTCGATCGTTGTTGCCCTAAGAAAGATCAAATCATAAATTGGAACCTGTCTTCAAATAAAATACATGTAACAATTTAGAATCGACCAATGTCGCCGGAAATAAATATTACTACCGTAATCCTCCTCTCTGGTGGACTGGACACTTGGATTGACTAATTATTATCTCTGAGACAATTCTCTACTACATTATAGGGTTTTGGGCTTTATATTCTTGGGCCCAGTATTGGATTAAACGTTTAATTTGTTTTTATCTCTGAGACAACTCTCTCTCTCTCTACTTTTTGTTATATGGATGAGCATACCTTAAATAGCGGGAACTCTCACCACAAAGTTCGTTTTATTATCTCGGATCATCGCATTTCCCTTTCCCTTCTCCGAATCAAGAGAATTTTAGAACGATGCATATAGCTGTTCTTGACAAAAATCTGTAAAAAAAGGTATATCTTTTGTTCTTGATCCGTAATCCCATGATATGACGCACCAGCTTTGTGCACGTACTTCTCATAATCGTTTCTCATAATTCCTTTTTGGGTTTTCACAGAAAAGCTTTGTTCTCATCTCTGTAGGTTCGCCTCATAAAACCAATCATTCTCTTACGAATCTGGCTGGAATTTCCATCTCTGTTATGAATCTACTTGTTCGCATCTTTGTGTTGGTTATTGTGGCTTTTGTCTGAAATCTGCAGCTCTTTTTGAGGATCACGGTCCCTATCTTATTTCATTTTTTTGGTTGAGTATATGGTTGAGAATGGTCTAGAGTTTCATGAATATATGAACCTTATACAAGGTTTTAGAGTAGCAAAACATCGTGTGTGCACGATTCTAGAGAATGCTTCCAACTGCTTCAAGTTACGTTATCTTGATTCAGAGTGTCTCGCTTGTTTGCAGGTTTGGTTTGTTTCTTGAAAGTTAAGAAGCCGAGGAGAGTTTAAGCTTTTGCAAAAAAGATCAGAATGACGTTTTCCATGAGAGATCTAGATCAGGCTCTCCAAGGATGTGGCCAGAAATCGTAACCCTTTTTTTTCTCACTTTTAATGTTTTTATTTCCTTAACGTATCATCTGCATCATTTAATAACTCATGGTTGCATATACAGTGGGGTTGAGATATGGCGCATCGAGAACTTCAAACCTGTCGCTGTTCCAAAAGAGTCTCATGGTAGATTCTTCACCGGAGACTCCTATATAGTCTTAAAGGTTGGTACTATAGTCTTTCATGTTTTCTTCTCTGGTTGATGATACATACTTCTTGATAGTGTCTAAATCCTTCTTTATCTATCAATCTCACGCTAGACCACATCGTCAAGAAACGGTTCCTTGCATCACGACATTCACTACTGGCTCGGTAAAGATTCCAGTCAGGTAACTGTCTCTTCATACTAATCTATCCTTTTTGAATATTCTTCAACAAATAGGAATCATGGTGGTGTGTTGATGAAAACAGGACGAAGCTGGTGCTGTAGCAGTCATGACAGTTGAGCTAGATTCAGCCTTAGGTGGGCGTGCTGTTCAGTACAGAGAAGTACAGGGTCAAGAGACTGAGAAGTTCCTTTCATACTTCAAACCTTGCATCATACCTCAAGAAGGTGGAGTTGCTTCAGGGTTCAACCATGTAAAGCCCGAGGAGCATCAGACTCGTCTTTATATCTGCAAAGGCAAACATGTTGTCCGTGTAAAAGAGGCGAGTCTCTCATTATTTAACAATGTTCTTGATAGTCTTTTTTTCACTCAACTTGTCCCTTATGTTTTCATCTTTGATTTTTCAGGTTCCGTTTGCTCGGTCGACTCTCAACCATGAGGATGTGTTCATTCTTGACACAGAGTCTAAGATTTTTCAGTTCAGTGGTTCAAATTCGAGTATTCAAGAAAGAGCAAAAGCTCTTGAGGTTGTTCAGTACATTAAAGACACTTACCATGATGGGAAGTGCGATATCGCAGCGGTTGGTAAGTTGAAACTAAAACCGTCAAAGGCTAAAAAGAGTTTTAAAACCAAATTTTGTTGAGTTTAATAATGTGTTTTCCTTTCTTGTAGAGGATGGGAGGATGATGGCTGATGCTGAAGCTGGAGAGTTTTGGGGTTTGTTTGGTGGGTTTGCTCCGCTTCCTAAGAAACCAGCACTCAATGATGACAACAAAACCGCAGAGTCTGATGGAATCAAACTCTTCAGGTACAACAACTTTGATCTTCTTCACATACTTTTGCCTTGTAATTGAACCATTGCTCTTGAGACATGTGTTTGGTCTTTTCAAAGTGTTGACAAGGGAAAGACAGAAGCAGTAGAGGCTGAGTCTTTGGAGAAAGAGCTTCTGGACACTAACAACTGTTACATTCTCGATTGTGGTCTTGAGATGTTCGTTTGGAAAGGAAGAAATACTTCAATCGACCAGAGAAAGAACGCAAGTGAAGCTGCAGAAGTACAGTTTCTTTCTCATGCACCACCAAAACGAATAGTCTTGTTTTTTTTTTTATGGGGTTTTCTTGTTTAAATGTCATATTCTCATTCTTCGTTTTCTTTCTCAGGAGTTTTTCCGTTCGTCTGAACGTCCGAAATCGAGTCTGGTCAGTGTGATGGAAGGTTTTGAAACAGTGATGTTCCGGTCTAAGTTTGATTCATGGCCTGCTTCAAGTACAGTAGCTGAGCCCCAGCAAGGCAGAGGCAAAGTTGCAGGTGTAGTAGACTATAGTACTAATACTTATTTGCATTTGATCAAAGTTTTAAAGAACTTTACATATTCTCCGTTTGGTTCCTTCATCAGCTCTTTTGAAACGGCAAGGAGTTAACGTTCAAGGCTTGGTTAAGACTTCTTCTTCTTCTTCTAAAGACGAACCTAAGTCATACATTGATGGTACAGGAGATCTCCAGGTTAGTTGACTATATCTTTTGTTGAATTTATGTGTTCGAATAAGTGAGCATAGTCTTTTGATTGTCAACTATGAAATTTTTTTTGAAGGTGTGGCGAATCAATGGCGAGGAAAAGATCCTTCTCGAAGCAGCGGAGCAATCCAAGTTCTATAGTGGAGATTGTTATATATTCCAGTACTCGTATCCTGGAGAAGACAGAGAGGAACATCTAGTTGGTACTTGGTTAGGAAAGCAAAGCGTCGAGGTAAAATTTTCATCACTTATTATATATAAAGCTTCTTGCTCTCTATATGTTCTCACTGATGATGATGATGATATATAATATAGGAAGACAGAGCAACTGCTATTTCAATGGCAAGCAAGATGGTTGAATCCATGAAGTTTATGGCTGCTCAGGTGTTTCTTCCGTTATAGATTTTTAAGGCCTAAAATATACATTTTAGGATAGGAAACTTATTAGTCTTATAATCCATGCAGGCTCGCATTTATGAGGGGGAAGAACCGATTCAGTTTTTCGTGATCATGCAAAGCTTCATCACATTTAAGGTAATATAATTAATATCTAAAGTTTCTCCTCTAGGTTTTCTTTGAAGTGATCTTTATTATCACAATCTCTAACGAAATTGGTTTCTCTTTTTGTCTCAGGGTGGTTTAAGTGATGCTTTCAAAAAGCACATAGCAGAGAACGAAATCCCTGATACTACTTACGATGCAGATGGTGTTGCGCTGTTTAGGGTTCAAGGTTCTGCACCTGAGAACATGCAAGCCATACAGATAGATGCGGTACGTGTAAACCTGAAAACCATAACCAAACCAGCTTTGTTTTGTTCTTCAGTTTAGTATTTATAAATTAGTATCTGGTTCACAACAGGTGTCCACAGGGTTAAATTCTTCGCACTGTTATATATTACATGGTGATTCTACTGTTTTCACTTGGTGTGGAAACCTAACTTCCTCGGAAGATAAAGAACTTATGGAAAGAATGTTGGATCTGATTAAGGTAATATTTGATTTGAGCCTTTGTTTTCTGCATTTGGGGAGCTTATTAGCTTTTACCTTTCTTAGATCTCTCTCATATGGTTGTTTCTTGTTTTGGTAATACAGCCAAATGAACCCACCAAGGCACATAAGGAAGGTTCAGAGTCTGATCAGTTTTGGGAATTGTTAGGAGGAAAATTAGAATATCCGAACCAAAAGATGAAAAAAGATGGAGAGAGTGATCCTCATCTCTTCTCTTGCACACTCTCAAACGGTAATTAAATTGATATCCTAGGACTTTTCACTTTATTTTTCTCAATTCAAGAATTGATTTTAAATTGTCATTATTTTGCAAATTTCTGGTGGGTACTCTTGTGGATGTTGCTATCTTACCAGAAAATCTGAAGGTAACTTGTGGTTTTCCAATTTTTATAAGCCATGTTTATGTTATGATCCCACATCGATCTTGGGTTCTTATAGAGTGCCCTTCTTTCTTTTTATCCTCATATAGGTTACAGAGATCTTTAACTTCACTCAAGATGATTTGATGACTGAAGATATCTTCGTTCTTGATTGTCACACTGAGATCTTTGTCTGGGTGGGGCAACAAGTCGACCCAAAGAAGAAACCGCAAGTTTTAGCCATCGGAGAGGTATGTTACTCAAGATCCATCCAGTTACATTAACGTACAAAAACTGCAAAACTGTTCTAATAAGTTCCTCTGCCTCTACAGAAATTCCTTAAGCATGATTTCCTTCTAGAGAATCTAGCAAGCGAAACACCGATATACATTGTCACAGAAGGAAACGAACCTCCATTTTTCACTCGGTTCTTCACTTGGGACGCTTCTAAATCTGCAGTAAGTGACCTCTTCTATCCACACTTGCTCCAAATTCGATCCCAAGATTCTAACAAAACTGGTTTCTTGCAGATGCATGGAAACTCTTACCAGAGAAAGCTTGCAATCTTGACAAACAAAGGAAAGCCGCTTCTAGATGTAAAAAAAACTCTTTTTACCTCATTTTTTGGTTTTACTTTTTTGTGCAAAACCAATAAACTCTGTACTTACTTTGTCTTTACATGTTTGTGTCCCTTTTTTCTTTGGCTCAGAAACCTAAAAGGAGAGTAGTAGCAGTGTACAGCAGCCGGTCAAGCGTCCCAGACAAAGCGCAGCCGCGGTCGAGAAGTATGACCTTTAGTCCAGACAGAGCCCGTGTGAGAGGACGGTCTCCAGCTTTCAACGCACTTGCTGCAAACTTTGAGAACATCAACACAAGAAACCAATCAACTCCACCACCTATGGTTAGCCCAATGGTCCGGAAGCTTTACCCTAAGTCTCTCGCACCAGACCTCACCAAGCTCGCCCCTAAATCCTCAGCTATCGCTGCCCGCACCGCGCTTTTCGAGCGATCTCGGCCTACACCTCAAGAACCACCAACTAGCCCCGGTTTATCCGAAGGTATGCAGTCCAAAAAAAACTACTTCACATCTGAACTTAAAGATCTTGAGCTTACTACTTTTTCTTTGATCTTTTTCATGTATGAAGCTACAAACGAAGCGGAGGCGCCAAAGCCGACATCAGAGACGGCAGAGGAAGAATCAATGAGCAGCATTCATGAAGATTCAAAAGAAGATGAAGCAGAAGAAGAAAGCAGCCTCCCTACTTTCCCATACGAACGCCTTAAAACCGACTCAGAGGATCCTGCTGAAGATATCGACCTCACTAGAAGAGAGGTCAGTCAGATTCTTCAAAAACATGTTATAACATTCGTTTTATTGTGTTTAATGGAGGCAGCTTCTCTTTTTTTTTTTCCAGGCATACATGACTTCAGCAGAGTTCAAGGAGAAATTTGAGATGACAAAGAACGAGTTCTATAAACTGCCCAAGTGGAAACAAAACAAGCTTAAGATGGCTGCTCATTTATTCTGAACTCATCTTTCTTCTTCATCATCTCAACCCAAAACCCGTAAGTTTTGATGTAATATGTTTATCCATTGATATAGTTCAAGAAATCCGGCTTAGTATAATCTATTTTGTTAATCTTTCTTCCTCTTCTTTTCTTTTGCAGTTCAAGAGAACACAAAGAGGGGCATCATCATACCTTTTATCTTCATCTTGCTTACAAAATAATCAAAAAAAACAAAAAAAAATCGTACATTTTCTCGGTATTATTATTCTATGTATAAAAAAAAAAACTCTTGTATCCATAATTTAAATTTTTTAAAATGATACTTGGGATTTTTTTTTTTTATCTCACTGATCTGTTATTTTATTTTTCTTCCTTGGCTTGACTTTTTTCTGTTACTTTTATATTATTGAAGAAACAATGTAAATTAAATATATGTTCACTAATCGAACGAAAGAAAAACGTGGTAAATCTATTAAAATAAATAAATTTAAAAGAATTACATCACGCAGCCAAAAGAGAGACTCTACGGTTCGAACAAAAACGGCAAAAAAAGTTGGAGATACCTTTTTCCCCTTCTGCGTGAAGGAGCAGTGAACGAAAAAGAAAAAGAAAAAGAAAAAGTGGAGTGAGAGAAGAAGAAGAAGAGTAGAAACGACGGAAGATCCGGGGAAATCCTTGATTTCGATTTTCTTATTGACTCTGATAGTTTCTGTGCTCTCCATGGCGACGGAGCGTCCTTCTTTCGAGCTCGCCAAAGGCATCAATGGCCTCGACAAAATCGTTATCCGCGAGTCTCGTAGCCGCTCCGCCGAGGTATTCTTCTCGTTACGCGGCGGATTTTAATCTCCTTTTTATTTCACTCTATTTGTGCTCTTTTGCCCCTACTCCGCCGAGATTGATCTGAGATTTAGATCTTTTGTTTTGTTTGAGATTGTGATTGCGATTGTGAATCTCTTAGATCCTTGGGTTTTTTGTTTAGCTGTGGTGATTGTGTACTGTATATCGTTTATGCATTTGCTAACGGAAGAACCGGATCTGCGCGTTTATCTAGCTGAATCTTCGTTGAGAAAATGTGTAAAATGTTAGGTGTAATCTATGAATCTACTGGGTAAGATAAGAGTATCGAGAAATCATGGGGGATGATCTATTGATTTTTTGTTACATGAGATTATATTGAAATAATTAGATCATCAAACAGAGTGAGCTCTCTGCAAATTTAGTGATCTCCATCTTTGTTTGAATATTTGAGTGATTTTGAACGGATGCAGGTATACTTGTATGGCGGTCATGTGACTTCTTGGAAGAATGAGAACGGAGAGGAGTTACTTTACCTCAGTAGCAAGGTACTGCAGATCTATACCATCTTCCTGTTTTAAGTTTTGAGTTTCGTGTTGACGAAATGTGACTATTGGTTCATGAAGAAATGTTATATTCAAACATCACTAAAATCATGGGCATTGTGCAGGCTATATTCAAGCCTCCAAAACCAATCCGTGGAGGGATTCCTCTATGCTTTCCACAAGTATGTGTTTTTTTTATATCTTGCTTTTGTTTGTTCCATTTTACTCTTCACTATGCTCATGAAAGTTCTGATTTTTATTTGTATTGTGCAGTTCAGTAACCTTGGTGCACTCGAATCACATGGATTCGCTAGAAACAGGATCTGGGAAGTTGATGCTACCCCACCTCCTTTGCCAACGAACTCTTCTTCTAATGCTTTCGTTGACCTGATCCTGAGGCCAAGTGAAGACGACCTGAAGATATGGCCTCACAAGTAAGACTCTTTAGAACCTCGCTCTTTTTTCTTCATCAGCTCTCGCAAAAAAAGAGTTGAAGAAACATTACTAACTTTCATCTCGGTGTATCCATTTCAGTTTTGAGTTCCGGATGAGGGTAGCCTTGGGATCTGAAGGAGAATTGACACTGACATCTCGTATCAGGAACACCAACTCTGATGGAAAGCCGTTTACATTCACATTTGCTTATCACACCTATTTCGCTGTCTCGGACATCAGGTAATCCCATTGCATTCATGTATATTAATAGCCACGCCCAATTTGGTGTGATTTTACTGGTCATTTTTCAAGGCCTCCATCTCCATTGTCTTTTGTTTTCACTTTCTCAAAATGTGGAGTTTATATTGTATTAGGCTCCTACATCTATCTCTCCATCTCCATTTTTTTTTTAATATTGCATCGTTTTGCTTGTGTTCAGTGAAGTACGGGTTGAAGGATTGGAGACGCTGGATTATCTAGACAACTTACAGAACAGAGAACGTTTCACGGAACAAGGCGATGCTATAACTTTTGAATCCGAAGTAAGTTTCTTTCTGAAATATCTAATATGTCTAGTATCACCACTCAAAATAAACAAAAACTTGTTACTTGTTCAAAAAATATAGGTTGACAAGATTTACCTAAGCACTCCAACAAAGATTGCTATTCTGGACCACGAGAAAAAGAGGACTTTCGTTGTACGCAAGGACGGGCTTGCTGATGCTGGTAAAAAAATCTAGAAACCCCGTTACTTTATCAGAATCCTAGCTTTTATATTACTATTGTTAAAGTAGGAAAACTGAGTGATTCATGTTTCAGTGGTGTGGAATCCTTGGGAGAAGAAGTCAAAGGCGATCTCTGACTTGGGAGATGAGGACTATAAGCAAATGCTGTGTGTTGAAGCTGCGGCTATCGAAAGACCGATAACATTGAAACCCGGTGAAGAATGGAAAGGGAGACTCGAACTCTCTGCGGTTCCTTCTAGTTACTCCAGTGGACAGCTTGACCCTAAGAAAGTCCTCCAGTGAATCTTTCTTACTTGAGAAATCTTCTGTCTCCTCTCTTTCTCTTAGTTTATTGCAGGTGACTTCACTTTACTTTACCATTTATATTTCAGACTTGAGAACATACAAATCTTTCGTTTGTATTGTTGGTGACATAATAATGGTTTTTTTTTTCTCTATTTTAAATATACTGTGATTTTTCTAGAGTAACATTTTCATTTTGTGGTGTATCCTGCTTTTGCCAATACCGTATAGCGTTGATAAAAATTACATTTGTTTGTGCAGTGCTATGAAGAAACGAGTGAAGGAAGGCGTGAAGAGATGATCATCGGATTATACTATAAAAAAAAAGAAACTGAGATCGAATAAAAATCTTGCTTCGTAGTTCTCTTTTGTAACCACAGAAAATCACACAATTCGCGAATCAAGATAAGAAACTAGCACCCGATTATTCCAAATTGTCACATAATTATATTTATTGATATATTCGACTACCAGCAACATGGCCGCCATTAGCAGCATGAAATCCAAATCCTTGGTGATCGAAGAGCTTGTTTATTTGCTTATATATTGAATGTGTTGAATAAAATCAATGTCTCGTTTTTTATTATTATTATGCTTGGTACCAACTATGCTAGACCAAACTCTCTGTTTCATCAGGGTTATTTGTTTGAATGGTATTCAGTTTTTCACGTTTTTAAAAAATGTGATACTATTAGTTTTAAATATTTATATTATTTTTAATATCTTTGTATTTATGATTTTGTTAGCGGATTAAAAATATTACTAGAAAAAATGTAATTATATTATTAAAAAAAATTTCAGTGTTTTACAATTATTTAAAAAAAGTATATATATTTAGTTTCTGTTAATAATTTTTTATTATTTTGTTATTAATCTGACATATCGAGTATACCTATTATTAGAAATAAAAGACAAAAATATCTGGAAGAAGATTTATATACTTTTTCTTTTTATGTTTCAAAAGAATTGATGTTCAATGTAAATATATATTCATTTAATTTATAATTAATTTATATGCTATTCATAACTACAGGAGTTCATCAGTTATCGGCTGGCGTCATTAATCTCCAATAAATCAAGAAACAATACAATAATACTATTTATAACATGTTTCTCTGCGGTTCCTTCTAGTTACTCCAGTGAATCTTTCAAACTTTTCAAAAAAAAAAATCATCCTTCTTTCTACTCTCTTTCTCTTATAAGAATCTTCATGAACACTTTTGCGTGTTTCAAACTTCAAAACCTCCAAATCTTTCGTTTAAATATTGGTAAATATAATAGTAGTTTTTCCTTTATTTTAGATACTCTCAATTCTTAAGAGAAATGTTTCATTTTGTGTGGTATCCTTGTTGTCTCTTCTTTTCTAAATGATTTTCTAAAATTGTTTGTGCAGTACTACGAAGAAACGAGTGAAAGAAGGCGCGAAGAAGATCATCGGATCATACTATAAAAAACAAATTGCTTCTTAGTTCTCTTTTGTAAGCACACACACATACCGTAACGATCTGCAGATCAAGACAAGAGATCATCACCGGATTATTCCCACTCTTCATATATTTAATGATATATTCGTTTTCGATATAATATATAGATACACCGATCAGTGCCTGTGAGCTACATCTAGCCTTTCTCCGGTCAGGTCCAAAGGTATTTTAAACTGGAGAAAATGAAAAAAAAAATTATCAAATAGTTTTAATCCAATTACTAGTACTACAGGTACCAAAATCTAATCGGAATCTAAAGAAACCTTGAAAAATCGGATCTGACCCTCTTTTTCGAGTAGGATATGGTTTGTTAGTATAGTTGACGTCTCTTTCCTGAGTTGTTACATCCACTTTGTCTAAATGACATCAAATGAGGTGAATGACGACCATTAACTTCAAAATTAGCGTTAATAATTATAATTATAACTATAACAGTTAATGGTTTCGACATGGACATCAATTATTGAGGTGGAACAATAATTGACAAGTAACTCGAGATCAAGTACAGTACAAGATAAAAAGTACGATTATATAACGTGGGATACTTAAAAAGTTAAAACTTCAAACTAACAAAGATACTGTTCTGTGAAAACGAAATTTCAGAGCGAAAGAAAAATACAATTATTAGGCATTTTTTTGGATCCACACAAGATTACATCTGGCTCGACCATCAAGAGATTCCCTAACTTTTGCATTAACAATATTTTACATAAAATAATAAACAATGGTGTTTTGTCGTTAATGCCTTTCATTGGTTACAAAGTCATATTCTGAATCTGATTCATTGTATGTGGGAGCTGAGGTTGTCCTTAGTTGGTTCATTGCAAATATTATTATAAAAATATAGAAACAAGTATTAAAATACCTCCATATTAAACATTTACTGTACTCACATATAATGATGTACATTAATATGCAAACCTAAAGTTTAAACGGGAATGCAATTGAGGTTTTGATTAGTAGAACAAACTTGATACCTGAGTCTATCTTATTCGTAGGACTACGAAAATCTGATTTTTTATCAAAAAAACTACATAATTGTGGATTCATTTTACTTAACTGTCGATTTAGGATCATTCCACCATATTACTTAGATGAATCTTAAGTTTTCCTCAATTGTTATTTCAAGTTTCGTTTTCAGCTGAACTATATGTCTATACATTATATTATATGTAATATAATAAGGTCCAAAAGCAGAAAGTATCCAGTGAAGATAAAGCTAATCTAACAGTCGAGCGACAAGTGGAGAAATTACATTTGAATAAATAGCCCACATGAAAAGGCCCACTTTTATCGTCCAGGTATCCTACACGTGTCTTTTAGGACCCACAAATCGCTTGAGAAAACCTTAATGATTTCGTAATTATCTGAAATGTTATTTCTTTATTTTTTTCATCAGGAAATGTTACAGTATTTTTTTTTAAATGGCAAATTTAATTTTATTTACTCATTATCCCTTGTTTATTATCACTATTACTATTACAGTATACTGTATTACCATTATTATCATTATATTATTCCTACTGTGCTTATAATATCTAAAAAATGTTTACCTTTTCTAACTTTGAATATGACAACTAGATTTTCATTTTTTACATTAACTTTTGGTTAATTTATATTTTTTATTAATATCACCACAAAATTTATCCCTTATAATATTTATACAAGTATATTATCTGATCATCTAAGTATGCCAAATGCAAAACAAATTCATTTTATAACAGTTGCAGTTAAAACAAAAATTCCTTACGTTCACATATAAGTTTTAATAATAGAGAAACTAATCACGAAAGTTTCATGATAATAATAAGCTACCAATAATACTAAATTAAATATCGTAACAATTTGTAAACCTTTTTTCAAAAATAAACAATTGGTAAACAGAAGTGTTACAAGTTTATATAAACGCAAAATTTGCGTATATATTTAACACAATTATGATAATAAAATAATCTACGTATATGATAAAGGGCTATGATAAATATGTGGGATGTGTGTATAGTCACTATAGTGGGGTAGCAGTAGGACCCACAGTGTGTGTTAGAAAGGCTACAACGCGTGCTAAGTCTTTGTATTATTAAATTAATCCTCAAATCTATTAACTCTTTGCTTCCACATGCCGTCACTTCGCTTTAAGTCCCTTATTATTATATCTTTTTACATTATTCACATAAAATCATAATGACCAAAGCACCCCCTTGTTTTTACCAATTTCTACTTTGGAAATATAGATTTTACAAAATCATATACTTTGGTTTTTGTAAGGAGACTCTAAACAACTAATTTTAAAACCAAAATTTATTCAATTGACAAAAAAGAAAAATGAAAATTTCGTTTTCTGTTAAATAGTTAATTGGCTTTTTGCTAAAATAAATAGTTAACTGTTTAGGTATAACAACAATACTAAAATGTTATTTATGTTACGACAAAAATTGTTATTCATATAATCATATACTAGCACCCATGTCTATTGTTGTTATTCGTCTGTTCTTATAATATTTATATGAATTTATCTAATGTGCGGCGGACAAATATAATTTGATTATCTCGGAATTTTTTGTCATTCATTTCACGTAATACAATCAAATTGTTAGGTAAAGCTAAAAAGAGTTATTTAACAAAGCAAAAATAACTAAAAGAAGGTAAAAAGTAATAATTTAAAACATTTATCTCAAATAAATACTACTATTAAAAATATATACATATGCAAAAACATTTCAAGTCTTGGTCTTATATATATATACACACAGAAACAGAATCAACAGACAATAATTCATGTGATGTACTATTCGAAATTTAGATGTTGACCTGCACATTCAAACTTTGGAACTCTAAACAAATCTGATTTTATTTACGCCAATAAAAGCAACTATCGTGTCTCTAGACTCTAGTTACTGTAAGTATTGTACTTGATAGTAGTATCATGTTTGGTTTGGGTTTAGAATATAGTAATATAATGAAAACCTTGTTTTAATTATTTTATAGAATCCTTCGAGTTTCCTCGTTGCTTCTGGTTTCACATGGCTCCGCCTAATCCAGCCAGCTCTTTTTCTCTACAATAATCACACTAAATTGTTTATAAATTTAATAAGATACGCATGCATCCGCGGATGGAATCATTTGATTTTTCTATTACAAAATCCTGGAATTAAATATTAACCGCAGAACAAAATGGTTTTTCAATTTTTGATTTTTATATGTTGAGATACAGTAATCATTTTGGGATCTGGATTCAAGGTTGGTAATAGCAAAACACGATGAGATGTGTTTCTTAATGCACCGGCACTTAGTTGAAACTTGAAAGTTTTGTTAGATCTACGAACTCTCCAATTTAAAATATTATATATTTCACCTATCTGATTGGTTTTTTTGTTTTGTTAACATATTAGCATATCGTTACAATTTTAAGAGATGGAGTACATACTGATGAACTTGAGACCAAATTAAACGCGTTGATCAAGAAATAAATTCCAATTTTTTGTACTTCATGATAAATTTATATTCAGTATTTATATATTTTTCAAATAAAGGAGCTTTTAATTAGAAATCGTTTTGTTTATATATACACGTACACTTTAACAAAAGTTATAGTACATACACACATAAATATACATCACTGTCGATAACTCAAATACAATTATAGCTAATAAGCTAAGTAATTAATGGATTAACGAGCAATAATCATGATCTCCTGATATTTAACTATATTAATTCACGTATAACTACGATAAGTCGGTGCGTAATCGAAGCCCCATGTTACCACAAGATTTATTTGAGAGGAGAAAGCGAAACAAGTAGAAGACAAGCCAAATTAAAAAGATATAGAGATATCTTTTAATTATAATAGAACTTTAAATGGCACCAAATTCATGTGCTGATAATTTTTTTTTTTCATTGACGGGTTGTTTAATTTGGAATCCTGTGAGAAACTTCAATTCTATTTATAGGTTTGTATGGTTTCTCTTTTGTCATTGGCCATGGATTTTAAAACAAAAGCGGATCATGTTATATAAGTTTATATGAGCTTCATTTATGATTAATTTAAATCAGTATTGATAATCTAGGAGTTCATCGGTTGCCGACCGGTCTACATTTTTCCCGATCATCTGCAATAATCAACAAATGATAGTTACATTATTCTAACATGTTTTTATGAAAGTTTTAAGCAAAATCATCATAACTTATATCTCACGTTCTCACCAATTCAAATTTCAATAACGTCAACAAACTATGTGGTAACTAAATAATTTTTATGCAATTTCTTTATGAATTCCATTCGGATGTTAGGTTCGTCAACCTGTATGCATAATATGAAATTAGGAATATAGGTTTGATAGAAGTTCCTACAACATCAACCTCATAATTTTATTTCTATGAAATATATACAAGAAAATATTTATATGTATGCAAGTTTCTTTGTTTTAGAGATAAGAAAAAAAAAATAATAATAATGCTTACGAAAAAAATGAAATTGAAAAAGAAAAAAATGCTTACAAGTGATATACTATAAGAGGATCTATCTCATTAAACTTGGTGTCAGATAAAAATGATATTCATGGCATTGTTTGGGTATGGTTGGATAATATATCCAGTACGGATGATGATGGCAAAATATATACGTTTTTATTTTTGTTGATAAAAAATATATAGAAATGGAAATCATTTGAATTTCTAAAAATAATAAATATGACATTATTTCGTTTCAAAAATAAGATAGAAGCTTTGTCTTCAATTGGTTGTTACTACAGTTTTTTAATTATTTTAGTTTTTTTTTAATATGGTTACATGCATATATCTTGATCATGTCCAGTGAGGACTTGTCTGGAATATATTGGCTAAAGAAATCATTTTTTTTGTTTCATCATTTGTTCAAATCCTCTTGATCTTCTCAGTTTGTGTCTTGTATCAACACATCCAATTATTTCATACCCCCGCTGACAAGAACATTATATACACATAATATACAGAATCTACTTTCATAAGACTTGGGATTATATATATTAATTAGAATACTACTTGACATATGTAAATTCTTGGACATGTTCAACTATCCAACTTTTGAGTTAGAACTACAACATGGTGAGAACTTTTCTTTCACTATTTTTACTGTGGCATTTAAATCAATGAGAAAAAAAATCATCTTCTCAAAGAATAAACAACTCTCAATTAAGAGATTAATTAATGTATTAGTGAATCCACAATATCAATATAAAAAGTAGTTATCGTTTTGTCTGTTTTTTGAGAGAAGAATTAACTCATATAAAACTGAACATATACTCTCTCCATTTTAGTTTTTTTCACACAAATTAACTAACTAATTTATTTTTTGAAATTAAAACATTGTTTATTAACTACATAAACATAATTTAAATTAAAACATCATTTATTACGAAACCGAGATAGGATATAAAAACTCTCTCGGCTTTTTTCTTGCCTCCTTCCTTCACAAATATCACACACAGCCTGTCAAGATTAGCCTTTTAAAACTATTTAACTTCCATCACTATATATTAGTATTTGTTTATTAATCCTATTTAATTTAAGCATTTCCGTAGCTGTGAATTTCCCATCACATCCCATTATCCTTCTCTCTCTCTATCTTCCTCCCTCCTTCGTTCTCTATATCTCTGTTTCTCCTTCCATACTGCTCTGGTCCTTTATTGATTGTTGACAAAATCCTAAAGTGATCTCAGTGATTTTGAAATATTTACTATCTTATGCTTTGGAGCAAATTGGTAAAGAAATATATAGTTAGATAAGTGTGCGTCTTGAAGGGCTTCTCTAAGTGAGTTTTGTGGCATGAGTAGTTTGGGACATGTGATCAATGACCTTCTCTGGAGAGAATCACAGCTTGGCCACTCTTCTTTTCAGGTAATTCTTATATGATTTCTATCATATATACAGAAACATATACATATATATATATTCGTTTCAGTTACTAATTGATGTACTAATTTTCATATACTTGCATATGTGTGTGTGTGTTTATTATATATGTCCATGGAGCAGTTTCTGTATACTAGTGATACTTTCTACACACATCATGTATTATACGTATATATGTTATGTGTGTGTGTGTATGAAAGTCACACATTGGCTTCTAAGCTGGTTTAAATTTCAAGACCTCGGTGAAGAATATAGTTAATAAACAAAATTTGATAGCGAAATAGATACTTTTATTTTGCCAATTTATTGTCCTTGTCTTATCTTATTGAGTATCTAATTTGGTTATCTACAAATATGGATGTATAGACATGATCTTCTCATGTCTTTTTTATGTGCTAGCGCGCGTGTGTATATACGTAAGTACATGAGACATAGATATTTATTTATTGATAGGATTTGTTTGAAGACAACTTTTTAAAAACATTGAAGGAAACAAGTATAAGTGGAAACTTAGGTGATACAGTCCTCTTCGCATCAATGCAAGAACATAATGAATGATGTGACCAGTTTAGTTATATGCATTACGTATATCAAATTTATTGATTTTAATAGAAACAAAACTTAGGTGATATTCGCATGATCATCTAGTTACACTTAATTGTAAGAATATTATTTCTGAATCGACTGCTCGACTAGTGTTTATTGTTGCTTTTTCTCATGTCTCTATCTATCTTATCTTAATCATACTCATATTCTAATTTATAAGTCATGTTTATCCAAAATGAAAAGGAACAAAAATTCAACAACTTGTTCTCTCTCTTTTTTTTTTCGTCCTTTGCCAACCTTCACCACACATTTTCTATTTATTGCAATTTTACGACTCGAATCATTCTATTTTAAACTTTAGCAGTGAAAATGATATTTTTGTACTAATTTACATCAATTATCTCACCAATATTATATAATAGAATATTACTTTCAAATCGTTTCCTAGATAAGATATCTTTTTTCATATCAGTGTTTTTTTTTCATGGATGATATATATAGTAAATTAGATATCATGCATTGTTTATGGAAGAAAACAAATCAAAATTCATTTTAAAATATGTCTTGTTATGTTATCTTATTGGTGGGACAAGTCGTGTCTAGTGTTGTCATGAGGGCACTAGCTCGTGTCTAGTGTTATCTTACACTACTGAGTACTGACTAGTGAAGTATTCAGCTCGGCTTAACTGTATTATTTCTTCAATGTTTAGTATATTATATATTAAATAACGTACGAATATTATCACTAATTTTTCTTTGAAATGACTAGAAAGTTACAAACAAACAGAATTCAATTGGAATAAGCAAACAAAAATTAGCTTGCTCTTTTTTTTTGGTGAGAAAATTAATCTTCTACTTCTATGATGTAGTACTAACAATTTTTTTTTAATTATAAAAATTTGTGGTCTAACTGGTTTTATTATATATCCATCAATTTGGTGAGCAGAAAGACATTTTGATTCGGTATTTAAAATTACTTGGCTTTCAGACAAAACACCATGAGAGAGAATCTAATCAAATGCAAAAGTGTGTCCCACTAGTCAACCTTCGTTTGTCTATAAACCTTCACTTCAAGACTAGTGGCTTCTGACGATTACTCCATCAACATCATGTAATCCCATATATACAAAAATACACTCACTGACTCATATACATAATTTAAGTAAAAATTAGGGTTTTCTATGTTATCAATAATCACATGGTTATAAAGTGTGACTCTACGTTTCAGGCATGGGAACAAAGTTCGTTGAGCGAACTACGACAAACTCACTTGGATTGAAGAGTGTTGATTGTAGTGGATTCATCAGATTTGGTGTTAATGGTCAACGAAAATCTTCAAAGGAGACGTTGACAGAAGACAAAGAGGAGGAGGAGGAAGAAGGCGTTTTTGTTATCAGGTCAATGGATAGGTTTCTTGAAAAGCAAAATGCTGAATCCATCAGACATACAATGCAAGCCCAAGAAGATATATTTAAGCAACAGGTACATATTTATATATACGTATGCATGATTTGGTTTTGGTTCTGATTTTTCGATGTGCTTTTTAAAATGTTAATCTAGTATACATGGTTCAGTTTGGATGATTCAAACTCGATTTCTATTTATTAATGTAATTTGAAAGATTTTCTATGTTTTGCTTTGGTGGATCTTTCCCTTTTCGGTTTAATTCACTTTTACCTTTTTTCATATCAAAAACGATCGTCCTTTTGAAAAATTAAGAATTAATATAGTTTTTCAATAGGCTTTTTAAGAATTCGAATTTGGACAAATTCGGTTTATCGACCTTTAAATTGATGAATGATGATGATAACCATGCATATGATTACCGCAGGTACGAGAGCTACACAAAGTATATAATATACAGAAAATGATGATGAACCAACTCAAACATAGAAGCCAATACTGTACTATTAACAACCAAGACCAATCCGGTTCAAGGGAGACAACCGGAAGCTGTTCAGGCATAGACCTCGAAAACGTGGTTAGAGCCAACAAAACGATGACGGATCATATCGAAGAGAGTGAATTAGAGTTGACATTGAGCATTGGAATGTCTTCTTCGTCTACTAACAAGGACATGGACCACTCGTCGACAACGTCGTTTAGATCTTCATCGGATAATTGTAATAACCAGAGCAGTAATAACAATAATAATAGTAATAACCAAGAGAGTAGCGGACCAAACACACCTATGAGCAGCTCAAGTACGACGTCATTGGATCGAGAGAAGAAGAGACCTCACTGGCTATTTCAAGGACTTAGTATTAACAGAACTTCTTGATTTTTGTTCATTCACTGACTCTTTCTTTTTCCTTCCTCATCTTCTCTTCTTGACCTTTTCTTTTGTATCTGATTTATTACTATTATAGTCTATTATTATTATTTACCAAACCTACTGATTTTAGAATGATTTTACTTAGTTATTAACACTGATAGATAAATCACTAAGTATTTTGTTTGGTTCGAAAACAAAACATTACATCTGCTTTTGGAGCTCAATGAGGATGACGAAAAGGATAGAACCTCAAATATAGAGTATGAACAAAAAAACATAGAGATATAAGATAAATTTGAAATTTAATGGTATATTCAATTTGAGTGTATAAACTTTAAGATTGGTCTTAGTTACTACTAATCTCAAGGTGCACAAACCGTCTTCTACCATTATAATTTTTTACACAAAATCGTATATTACATAACCCTCTTTATTTTTATTCTTTTCCCTAATAGTCATCTTCGTCGTCTTCATCATTTCTTGATCGGAAAAAGTTTCTAGCCACGGCTGAAGCGGCTCCAAAAAACATGAAGAGAACGAGGAGGTCGAAGCCACCACCGGCACCCACTGCCACCGCAGGACCAGGGGCAAAAAAGGAAAAGGGTGACCATCCATAACCACCGTATCCATATCCATAGCCACCGATCAAAGGTGGTGCCACCGGAGGATTCACGTAGATGTTGGTCCTGTGAAGACAAAACTGCGTTAAGGATATAAAGGAACTAAATTCTCGGGTTTTCCAAACGCCAATTTCTGTGTTTGCATTTACATTTGAAAACAAACAATCAACAAACAATCATTTTCTAAAATATACAACATTTTTACTATTATTTCGGTTGTGTTTATGATTAACAAGTAAATTAGATTATAAGGCTAAAGGTTGCGAGTTTATCTAAAAAAAAACTAAACATAAATGCAAAACTAAACATGTTACAAACGGAAAGAAACCATCTAAACCTGAAAACATTGTTACCAAATCGAGTAACTAGTGTTGGTGGTCGTTGGATGTTTTGGGTTCAAACTTTTTAAGGTCTATAGTAAAATACAAGGGAATGTACTATAATGTTGGATATGAGCCCGATAAGGCCCATACATGAAGCCTCTTGTATATTTGGCGAAAGCAAAAACACAATTTTACTTCTGATAATTTTACTTTTAAGTGTCAAAAAACAAATAAATCTATAGTATTATGTAACCAAGTGAATAATAAATCTTGAATAATTAAAATCGAGATAAGAACTAGAAAAGTAAAAAAAAATTGTTACCTCGATCGGTTGTTAATTCTAGGAGGAGGCCTAGGAGCTGAAGGCCGAGGAGCTGAAGGCCGAAACGCTTGACCGCCGACTCTTCCGCCGCTCTTAGCCGCAGACGCATCCCCAACGGATCCCAAAGCCAAAACGCCAACCGCTAGCGTCGCGATTGCGAATTTCGCCAGCTGATTCTCATTTTTCCTAATAAATTAAAATAACAAAAATATTAATTGGATAAGAGCAAACTCGAAATTAGAATGAAAAAGTCCTTAAAAGTTAAAAAAAAGTTTTACCGGGAAGAATCAGCATCGTCCTCGTGGTGAAGGGATTTGCAACAGATTGAACTGGGACGAGTGAGATTATTACTGGATCTGGGTTTGAAACTGTGTCGGAAACTGAAAGAGTCTGATAAAAAGCTTTGTCGTGAAGAAGCTATGGCCGCGAAATACATTATTTCTTGTGTCTGTAAATTGTTCCAAGTTTCTTTTCTCTGTTCTACTAAGGATCTTTCTCGGTTTCTTTTGTAGCTTTTGGTTTGTGATAAAGCGATTGCCACGTGGATTACAACTAGTGGCCTAACTAAGAACACATGTATCCACTACGGGATTGTGATATCTGGTTTTGTGTATCAAATCGGTCTGAAGAAACAATCGAACCGCTAGTCATCAAACCGGAACCCCAATATGCTCTTGGACCAAGATAAATATGGGGAATATTATTATTCCACTCGTTTATTTTGATTGCTTTATTTTCTTTATAGATGCTGTTACTTTATAGATTCCATAGAATCGTATATTATATAGATTGGCATTTTTTCGAAATTCAGGAAAAAATTACTTTACCAGTAGACAAAAAATTGAAACCTAAATAAAATTATAAGAAAATAATCTTGGAAACTCAACAAATATAGTCTTATGATTCAAAGTATATGAAACCTAAATAAAATTATAAGAAAATAATCTTGGAAACTCAACAAATATAGTCTTATGATTCAAAGTATATAATCATCTCTATATAAGAACTTTATAAAACGAACTTGTATAAACCTAAGATATTATCTTCTGTTTTTGTCTCCAACACAGGAGAAACTGAGAAAACACAGTTATAATTAAATCTAAAATCAGGAAGAAAAAAAAACTCCGGAGTTTAGAGGAATTCAACACACATTATTACTATAAAAAAACTTTATTCCCTCCCCTCTTATAAAATCATCATCATTATCATGCGTTAAACAAACGATCTTCGTCTTCTTCTTCCTGATTCATCTTCTAGTTAAAATTGAGTCCATCTTTATCAAACGGTGTAGTGCCCAGGTGTCTCAATGTCAAGTCCCTTTAGCTTCACCACTGACTCTACATGTCCTTTAAGAGTATGAAGCTCCCTAAGCCTTCAAGCGACAAAAGCAACACACAGAAAGCCCTAAAGTTAACTTGACTGACAAGGAACCTCAGCTTTTTGTAATTGATGATTAGAAATTCAGAAACATATACCTTGCGATCTCTGCTCGTCTCTTGGCTTGCTCTGCGATCTCAGAAAGTTCTCTGTAGCCACCTTTCTCCGGGAAAACAGTACTCGTTTCGGTATTCTGAAGACCGTGTAAAGTCCTCTGTGCGTGAGCCCATTGTGCCTCTCTCTCCTCTATCCCATAATTTTGCTTAGTCGTAAACGCAGTCTGTTATCATTTTCCAATTTCAGACAAAAAGAGACAGTCAGATTGTGTTGGGTCTCGAAACGAGTAAAAAAGAGTTATAATATAAAACGTAAACGTACCTTGTTGTCAATGAGATTGTTCCATGCGCTTCCGGCTAGTATGTAACGGGTTGCGAATTTCAGTATGTCTAATGGAATGTAAAAGACAATACTGTAAAGCCAGATAACTCCAGCCCAACCAAACCCTATTCCTTTGACTCTCGCAAATTCCCAATTCGCAAAAACCGCAATCAACGTTGCAACCTACAAGCAAGATCAAGTTTATCAACCATTGAAGAGAGTTTATATGATCAAGAAGAAGAAGAAACAGAATCATGTTTCTACGCTTACCAGTTGTGCTGCCCAGAAAGCAAAAAACAAGAGCATTCCAGGTCGTTCTAGAAAAGACCAGCTTCTAGATCGAGTGACGAAGATAAGAGCTTGGCTCACAATACTGACTTGTAAGTACAAAGCAGACGTCATTTCATGTTCCTTGCCTCTCAAGTCTTTCACGTGGAAAGTTCTCTACAAGAAAAAAAAAACAAAGAGTTTAGAGAGAGAGAGAGAGAGAGAGAGAGGTTGTTTATAATGGGTTATATATACCGGGAAGTAATCGGTTGTGTAAGCAGCCCAGAAGAAAACGACGGTCATTATAGCCATGTAGCCTCCAAGGATAATGCCAGTTGCGAATATCTCCTTGAGTTTCCAGCTATCTGGTGTAGGAGAAGGCACCACTTTGTCCTTTGAGATAGTCATGATTGTTCCTGTTGAGTCATTTCACACAATTTTAGCTATCTTCTCTTTGTTAAAGCAGGCTGGAGAAAGTATATGATAAGAGAGAAACTCACCATCGTTTAAGATGGCAATGATCAAAACCATGAATGGTGAAAAGTCGAACTTCCATATCAGAGCAATTAACATGAACCCAAACTGTCAAAAAAAAGGGTACAAAGAGACATCATAAACAGAGAGATTATTTGATGATATAAAAGAATCAAGAATATATACAAGATTGATTTACTTACCACAATACGGATGGTGATTGAGACTGCATAAATCTGTTAAAAAAAACAACATCAGCAAACAAGTGAGATTGGTGGGGAAAAGAAACATTGCTTAAGAGAGAGAGAGAGAGAGCACACTCACAGTGTAGTTCTTCATTCTTTGGAAAATAGCTCGGCTGGTTAAAACAGCGCTGATGATGACACTGAGACCAGGCTCAGTGAGAACAATATCAGAAGCTCCTCTTGCAGCGTCTGTAGCATCAGCAACAGCGATACCGATATCTGCTTTCTTCAAAGCAGGAGCATCATTCACTCCATCACCAGTCATTCCACAAATATGCTTCAGCTCTTGCAACTTCTTCACTATCTCGTACTTGTGCTCTGCCAATATACAAATCAAAACATAAACAAAACCAGACTTGTAGAGAGAAAATTCAAGAACATTACAAAAAAAATGACTAAACAAACCTGGGAAGACACCAGCAAAGCCATCAGCTTTCTCAATCAACTCGTCAACAGGAATCGCAGATAGGGCTTCGTCTTTGTGATTACCAAGTAGAGATGCTGATGGATACATGTTTGATCCCATCCCTAGCCTACGTCCAGTCTCTTTGGCAATAGCAAGCTGATCACCTGTAACAAAAGCAAATACAACACATAAGCAAGAAATCGAAGATGGAAAAGTCAAAAGAGAAAAAAGAGTATAAAGAAAGATATAAACCTGTAATCATCTTGACGTTGACACCGAGGTCTAGAGCTCTTCTAATGGTTTCTGCACTGTCGTGTCTTGGAGGATCAAACAAAGGCAACACACCAACGAATTCCCATGGACCACCAGAGCTTTCTTTTGTTCTCTCAGGTACATTCTGATGACAAAAAAATGCAAAAATTTACATCAACTCTTTTTGTCTTTTTCTTCTTTCTAGTTTTGTTATACAAGATTTGAAATTCTTGCTCTAACCTGTCTTGCAACGGCTAAAGACCTGAGTCCACGCTCAGCGTACTTTTCGATTGCAGAGTGGACTCTCTTCCTCAGATCAGCTCTTGCGTTGCAGAGATCAAGAATCTGAAAACCATCATCAAAAAGAATCGGTTTTTTACGGTTAAAACCCATTCAAGAGAAAGAGACATTTACTTTTAAACTAGAAGCAAGTTTCAGTTACCTGCTCGGGAGCTCCTTTGCTTACTCGGTGCCACTCTCCCTTATCATCGATGTAAGTAAGCGCGGTTCGCTTATCAACTGGATTAAACGGGAAGAAGTGAATCTCTCTAATACCAGCTCTTGCCTGAAACCAAACAAACAAACAAGATGACAAACAAAATTCAAGAAAGAAAAACAGAGGAAAACAGAGGAAACAGAGTTTTTATACACACATACCTCTCTTGGATCAGCAAGCATCCCAACCATAGCAGCATCAATAGCATCTTGATTCTCTGTTCTTGAAGCTCTAGCAGCAAAAAGCAAAACCTCGTCTTTCTCAACGCCTTTAGCACAAACCTCAATAAGGTTCTTGTCAACACTTAGCTTGTTGAGAGTCAAAGTCCCGGTCTTGTCGCTGCACAGAACATCCATACCAGCCATCTCCTCAATAGCGGTCATACGTTTCGTGATGGCTCCTTGCTCAGAGAGCTTGTGGGAGCCAATAGCCATTGTCACAGACAAAACAGTAGGCATCGCAATAGGGATCCCACCGATCAAGAGAACAAGAAGGTTATCGATACCGTCTCTGTAGCGTCTCCGCTGGATCGGGTACATAACCACGAGCTCAATCAAGATACCGACAGCGATGGAGATGATGCAGAAGTTCCCTATCGCTGTAAGAACCTTTTGAAAATGCCCCACTTGGTTCGTGCTGTCTACAAGATGAGCAGCTTTGCCGAAGAACGTGTGGACTCCTGTGGCGATCACAACCGCTTCGATCTCTCCTTGCTTGCAGGTAGAACCGGAGAAGACTTCTTCTCCTGGACCTTTCGTCGCCGGGAGAGACTCTCCGGTAAGAGCCGATTGGTCGACTTTCAACGCGTCTCCTTCGAGGAGACGTGCGTCGGCGGGAATGATGTCGCCGAGCTTGATGCTGACGATATCTCCGGGGACGAGGATAGATGCTTCTTGCTCGGACCATTTGCCATCTCTTAGGACCTTTGTCTTGGGGGCAAGACCAGCCATGAGTGCAGCTGCAGCGTTTCCGGCATTGTTTTCTTCCCAAAAACTGATTGTTGAGTTGATAACCAAAAGACAGACAATGCCGACGAAATCTTGCCAGTCCGGTGGCCTTCCGTCGCCGTTGGCCAAGGCAATAGCCATGATCGCAGCTGCTTCCATGACCCAAGAGAGAGGGTTCCACATAAAACCCAAGAACTTAAGTATCTTGCTTTCCTGTTTCAATTTAAGGAGAAATGTATATTTAGTCACTTCACTAATGTGTATAGTCCATTTATGAGTAAAGCTAAAAAGTTGAAGAGTGAACCTTCTTCTCCTCGAGTTTGTTGGGGCCAAAGAGCTGGAGTCTGTTTGCTCCTTCTGCACCAGATAATCCTTCTCTGCTGCATTTCAACTGCTGGAACACTTCTTCTATTGGGATCTTCTCCTGCAATTAACAACAACCATGCAAATTTCTCAACCATCAGAACAAAATAAAATAAACTATATACAAATTATCAAAAATAATTAATTGATGATAAAATAATAAAGAGACAAATTAAATAATTAATTGATGATAAAATCACCCCAAAAAACAACTTTTAGCAGAAACAAATTAAATAGTTTTAAAATATTATTTAAATATGAAAACATTCAATTGATTATATAAGCCTAGGAGGCCCAATTGTATCTACGGCCCACTGTAATTGAAGATAATGATAGGGACAGATCCGTCAATATAGTCGAATATTTAACTGATCCCAGAAAATCAGGTGCAGATTGAAATTTAGGTACATCTAGGAAATCGTTTGAACGTGAGTATGAAAAGATCCAAATCGTATTTATTAACTCCAATTTGACTTCAACTTCTCTATGAAGAATAATTTTCAAATTAGGTAACCCACAAAAAAAGAACGATGTGAAAATAAAATGGACTACTTCATAAAACTACTGCTTTATTTGCTAAGAGCTTTTTTTATTTCTTTATTATAAAAGTGCTAGCTACTTAACATAATTGTAACTAAAATCCTGTGATTCTGCGATTTGCATAGACTGTACGTAATTGCAAAATCTAGAAAAAATAAAATAAAGAAAAAGCTGCGAAATATAAAAGATTATGATCTCACCGATCAAAACAGAATATCTCGAGCTTAACAGTTAACATGATAGAAAGAAAAAAAAAATGCAACGATCGAATCGTGTGAAAACCTAATTTGATCGAAGCATTAAGTAAAAAGATAATCAAACTCAAGCGGGAGTTTGTTCATAAAAATTTCACCCTTTGTCAAAAAAAAAAACAAATTTCACCAAAAAACTCAAACAAATATAAAACAAAACACAATTTTACAGAGAAAAAAAAAGAAGAACAATCGTACCAAATCAACAGTTTCGTTCTTAATATCCTCGAGAGAGGCACCAGGCGCCATGTTTCCGTCTGTCTTCGCCAAAAATCAAAACACAGAAATCGTTAAAAACTATTCACAGAAACTGCGGAAAAGTTAAGCAAAATAAAGTAACGATGATGAAGATATATTCGAGATTGCAAAGAGAAAGAGAAGGACAGAAAAATCAAATAGAAACGAACCAGATTCTTCGGAGCAAAGAGAGCAAGTGAAGGTGAACTACGTTGGCTATTTGGTGTCTCTATTTATACCCCTCGCGTAGTTAAAACGATACCCTTTAGGTCGGAAAAGGTTTATACGTATATTAATTATTCTCCAAGATTATCATCTTTTTATTTTGTTAACTTAAAATATCAACGCTTCGTCAACGAGATTTTTTTTTTTTTTTTTTTAAAAGAAGATAAATATTAGTACCACGTTAACAAAAATAATAATATCTCTACTTCATAAAATAAGTTTATGAAATATTGCAGAATATAAAAAACTACAAGTATTAAATAACATTAAATTTTGCATTAAAAGTTATAAAACATTTTATAAATTAAAACAAATTATTTTCCTTGAAACATCTTTTATGAGACTGATAAAGTATTTATTTATCACTTTGACAGGTTTTTTTTTATGGAAAAGAGTACAGTGTTTATTTAATATTTACCACTTTGACAGATTTTCATGTCATTAATAACCTCAGTCAGATTTGACCTTTGTATATTTGAAATTCATCGATGAGGACATTATTATCTTATCATGTTCCTATGGTAAATATTATTTTCTTTATTAAAAAATTCTTCTCTTTTTTTTCTTTTCTTTCCTTGTCAACACAAAATCTTATTCAGTTGACAAAAACAAACAAAAAAACTTATTTAAAGTTTCTATGAGAATAAGAAAAAAATGTACTATTCTTTAAATTTATCTTTCAATTTGTATTAGCTGAAACGATTAGAAGGAATTTCATTAACCGATTAATATATCCTCCTAAATTGGGATGATAACAGAATTTATGAATATTTTACTAAAACTTTTCAGAATTCAATCATCCTTATTTTATCTTGAAATTGGAAAAAAGCAAAAGTAAAATATTAGAATGTGATACTTTTAATTTAGTTACATAGATATAGATGATCTAGGTCTTCTTTTGCTAAGCATCAATAGAATAATATTTAGGTCAATAGCAACTTTTCCTGCTATTTTTTTAAGTATAAAACAACATATATTTAAAATAAAATCTGAATATGTTGTTGACACAGTAACGGCGTTATTTTGGTAAAGATGACGGTCCATTGATTAGGAGGTAAAAGATAGCTGACTGTCCAGTAACATCCTTACGCGCGTCAATTTCGTTAGCTAATGTCACTGAAGATTTGGGTAGGTTATAGACAATAAAAAAAACAATATTTTGGCTTAACGCAGTTAGTAAGATCGATAAAATGAAAGAGTTGCATTCAAATCAATTGTTACAATAAATTGGAACAGACTACAGAGATTATTTGGCTTATTATTTTCTATTAGTATTAGTTTTTAAAATTATATTGAAGAGTTATTTTGTGTATTAGCTGAAACGATTAGAAGGAATGATTAAAATAAATTACGTTTTTAGCAGGAAAAGGAAATAACTTGCTGGGAGCAGTCATCCATACAAATACAAAATTTGCTCAAAATTGAATATAATAATTTATCCAGAGTAGTATCTTTGGTTAGGGGTGGGCAAAATATCCGTTGTATCCGCTTCGAACCGATATTTGCTTCGATCCGATTCAAAAAATTCAGATATCCGTAAAGCTTTGGAACAAAACAAATAGCAAATGTAGTATCTGTACAAAACAGAGCAAATCACAAATATGTTTTTAGATAACGCCGGATATCCGATCTGATCCGTATCTTTATAAATTTATTATATATTATCATGTATATATCAATTATATTATAAAATTTTATTAATATATTCTCAATTTTTTTCATAAATTTTCAATTGTTCTTTTGATTATATAAAATAAATGACTAAATAACTAATTATAAAAAATAAATAATATGTTTAAACTTAAAATATGTTAATAAATAACATTTTATTTTATATTAGTAAATAAATATCAACAAAAGTTTTTTAGTAAAGTTTAATATTAAAGTTTCAAATAGTTAATATTATTTCTAAATATAAAATATCATTTTTCCTCATTTTAATTTTGTAGGTTTATTTTTTATAGATTTTGTTTATAAAATAAAATATTTTCTTTTAGTTATTTTCACTTAATAGTTTAGATGAATTTTTTTTATATAATAAAAATTGATGTACTTTCAGTTTTGTGTATATTAAACGGATCAAACTAAATATTCATAAATATTCATAAATATTCGTAAATATCCGCAAATACTTGTAAATTTTCCGGATATCCGAAAATCCGGATATCCGTATATTTTCAGAGCAAATCAAATCATAAAATTAAATATCCGTTAAAAACAGAGCAAATCATAAATATTAAAAAAAATTTGTATATCCGATCCGCGTCCACTCCTATCTTTGGTATCCCTTGCAATATTTGATAATACTTTATAATAGATATTTTCTTAGTTAAGATACAAACAAAATTATGGGAAAAAAAGAAGTTTTAACAACAACAAATTGATTGTGGGGACAAATTACGCAGCGTCGCAACACATGTAACGTGGAGTTATGGTTCGTAGTTCGTACAACTTCACGTACACAATCCACTAACAATGACGTAATCTCTTAGGACTTTGCCTTTGATGCATCTCATTCTCTCCGGGTCCCACTATCCTACCTCAAGTTTAGCTCAGATCGAAACTATGTTAACTAGTGAAGGTTGGTAGGTTTTGTAAACAGTTACGCCCTCGAAAGTCTGTAAAACTATAAAATCATCTTTCATGCTCAGAGCCTTACGACGAGAATATTAAATGGCCTAAACAAAACACATGACAAACAAAAATATAATAAAGAAGATATTGGAGAAATAAGAAATGAACGTGAGGTGATGAATAAATGATGAATTCGAATCATAACAAGGTGGTTGTTGGACGATGTTGGACCAACATTTTTATATTCGTATTCCCAATAGTAACAATATAGTCTTTTTTAAATAAAGAATGGTAACTAAGTTTAATGTTTTTCAGTACGTGAATATCTGAAACTTTTATGATTATCATGGATTTTTTCACATTCTAAATAAATAAAGATAAAAGAATAATATATAGTGGGGCATTTTAAGCATATCGTGGAAGATATGAATGAATAGAGAATGTTGCACAAGTGTAAAGAAACGACCGACCAAAGTCACCAAACCCACTTGTTCTCTCACGTCCTTTTTCAATATATTAAAACATTTTTTAGACATCGTAATATGTAGAAAAATACTATTCATTAACTATTTATTTTCAACATACAAATTTTTTATATGTATTTTTGTTTGTTTTCGTTTTTATTAACGTCAAAATTGAAGGCAAAATGTCTTCTTCAGAAAAGTCACAAGCATTTACTGTACCTTCATAAATACATTTATTTTAACTTTTGAAATCAGTTTTGTTTTCATTGTTAGAAATTTCAAAATTAATTAATAAATCTAGATTATATACACAAACCTCTTTGTTAAATTACATGTCAACCCCTTTTCAGAGGATGTATAGTCTTTCTTTTAACTTCCTGTTGAATGTTGTTAAGCTTTAAAGGATATTGAATGTTGTTAAGTTTACCAATAATAACAATATAGTAACCCTAAAAAGTGATATTTGTCCGATTGGGTATGGATATAGGTTGCAATTTCATAATTCCAATTTAAAACTTAGTTTCAATAAACAATTCAGTTCAGTTAATTGTCTGATGTTGGTTAAGGTCCGTTTGCGCCTATGATTTGATAGTATACCGAACAATGGTAAAGTGAATGATTCCACTACCTCGATTGATATAACTTCATTTTTTTGAACATTGTAACTTCATTTTTTTCAAGATGGAATGGGCTAAATAAAATTAACATAATAGAATATAAAGATGTCGTTGTATTCAAATTAACATAATTTACCATCGTAAATGAAGCTGTCATGAGTTGAAAAACTGATGTAAAGACACAGCGAAACAAAAATTACGAGTACATAATCTCATTATGCAATTGCACGGTTTACAAAAGCAGAGACCCTCACCGGCTGATCCTTTGCTAGTAATGGTACTCTAAAATCGGTAAAAGTAGTTTCGAAGCTTTTCAATTTCTTCAGTACCAAGTCAAAAGTCAAATCTTTCATTTTACTCGTTCTCTCCGTCTTACTCTTTCATTGAAACAAACGCAGAAGCTTTCCTTTTGCTCTGATCCTTGCAAGAAGCTTGTTTTTCTTTTCTTCCTTCTTACACACAAAGCGATGATACTCTGCTCTGAAAGAATCTCTCATCTTGCCATAGACACAAAAAAAGATGTAACAATGTAAAAAAGACAAGTGTATAGAAGTTTTATGGGCTTTTATTGTAGTAACTACTAAGACACAAGCCCATAATGTTGGGACATCGTCTAAAATTTATAAAAACCCGACGGGGAAAGTCGGATCCGGGTTAAACAGACCCGTTAAAACCCATTTTACTCATACGGCCGAGATTTTTCCACCAAACTCGACGGTTACCACTCGTTCTTTTCCACCATCTTCCCCCTCTCTCTCTCTCTCAAGCCCAAAATCTCTTTTTCGCAAAATTTCACTGTTTTAACGCCGGTTGTTTTCAATCGCCGTCCTCATAATCTCCGGCGACCTGATTTTCTCTGTACTTACTCGTCTGGATATTCTTTGAGGTTCATGGAGTGGGACAGTGGTTCCGATCTGAGCGCCGATGACGCTTCCTCAGCTGCGGATGATGAAGAGGGAGGTCTATTTCCTGGCGGCGGACCAATTCCATTTCCGGTTGGGAATCTTCTTCACACGGCGCCTTGTGGCTTCGTTGTGACTGATGCCGTTGAGCCTGACCACCCTATCATCTATGTCAACACCGTCTTCGAGATGGTTACTGGGTATCGCGCCGAGGAGGTTCTCGGAGGAAATTGGTTAGTCGTTTTTCCTTATCTTTTGGGTTAGAGTTCTAATTTTATGCGATGAATTTCGTTGATTTTGGTTATAGGTGTTGGGTTTTTTTTTGGCTCACTTTTCCCGTTTTTACTTTGTCGAATTGGGCTACTTGGGGGAGTTTTATTAAGGAAGCATCGTGTGATTTGAGTCTAGCTGAAGAACATAGAGTTGATTACTTAAACGAATTTCGTTGGAATGTCAAATATTTGTGAATTTAGTGATGGTGGTGATCTGAAGTTGCTTCTGAGGACGCTGTTGTTCATTGATCACTTGAATGAGAACGAAGAGATGTCTTGTTGGATAATTATTGGTAACTATGCGGAATTGCAGAGAATCCTTAAAGAGAGATGTATACAATGGACTCTGTGTGTGTGTGAACCTCACTGCTATTCACTTAAGCGGATTATATTTTCTATTCAGTGATTATTGCTCTGTTGATTCTAAAGGAGCGCACATAATGTGGTTGAGGTGTTTCCGCTGCTCCCATTTTAAGCAAACTTGAAGAAACAGTGTATACATGGGTCTCCTGAGATAAGCGAGCTAACTCTGTCTAGTTTCTTGGGGTCATAGCTAACACAATAGACTCTACACCAATGCAGACACTGGTTCAGATGGTTGGTGTGTAGTGAATCAATGACTAGTAGGTTCATCGTAGAAGGTTTAAAGTCCATTGCTTTTGGTTGTGACTGTTAGTTTGCCATGGGGTGTAGTGCTACTAGCTTCCTTCTGTTCTCGGGTATTTGTGAGCTTAGAGCCTGACGGGGAGGAGCAGATTCGTTCACATGATTAAAAGTCTTTTCGGATTAATTGTTACATGTTTACGTTTTAACCTATGCGTTTATGGTGCTTTTCAGTGTTTTTCTTTCTGTCTCTATATACACAGCCAATTTTTTGTCCATTGCTTTTGCTAATCTTTAAGTCGGAGATAAACTGTTTTTCTTTGTCTCATGTTGTTAATAATTTCTTCTCAAATTCTGCAGCCGCTTCTTGCAATGCAGAGGACCGTTTGCTAAAAGAAGGCATCCGTTAGTTGACTCTATGGTGGTTTCCGAGATAAGAAGGTGTATTGATGAGGGCATTGAGTTCCAAGGCGAGTTGTTGAACTTTAGGAAAGATGGATCTCCGCTGATGAATAGATTGCGGCTGACTCCAATTTACGGAGACGATGATACTATCACCCATATAATTGGAATCCAGTTCTTCATCGAGACAGACATTGACCTTGGACCTGTTTTAGGATCTTCAACAAAAGAAAAATCAATCGATGGGATATACTCAGCTTTAGCCGCTGCGGAGCGGAATGTTAGCAGAGGGATGTGCGGGTTATTTCAGCTGAGTGACGAGGTTGTGTCTATGAAGATATTGTCACGCCTGACACCAAGAGACGTTGCTTCTGTTAGCTCGGTATGTCGCAGGCTATATGTGTTGACAAAGAACGAGGATCTTTGGCGAAGAGTTTGTCAGAATGCATGGGGCAGCGAGACAACGCGCGTGTTAGAGACTGTTCCTGGCGCAAAAAGACTCGGTTGGGGCCGCCTAGCGAGAGAACTGACCACCCTTGAAGCTGCAGCTTGGAGAAAACTTACTGTTGGAGGTGCCGTTGAGCCGTCTCGATGTAATTTCAGTGCTTGCGCAGTCGGGAACAGGGTCGTGCTCTTTGGAGGAGAAGGCGTGAATATGCAGCCTATGAACGATACCTTTGTTTTAGATCTGAATTCGGATTTCCCGGAATGGCAACATGTCAAAGTGAGCTCCCCTCCTCCGGGACGCTGGGGACACACGCTCACTTGCGTTAATGGCTCCAATCTGGTTGTATTTGGTGGCTGTGGACAGCAAGGTTTGTTAAACGATGTGTTTGTCTTGAATCTCGATGCAAAGCCGCCTACTTGGAGGGAGATTTCAGGCCTGGCTCCGCCTTTACCAAGATCATGGCACAGCTCATGCACTCTTGACGGAACCAAGCTGATAGTCTCTGGAGGTTGTGCAGATTCCGGTGTTCTTCTCAGTGATACGTTTCTCCTCGACCTCTCGATGGAGAAACCAGTGTGGAGAGAGATTCCAGCTGCCTGGACTCCGCCTTCCCGGTTAGGCCATACACTATCGGTTTACGGAGGGAGAAAGATCTTGATGTTTGGTGGTCTTGCCAAAAGCGGGCCTTTGAGATTCCGCTCAAGCGATGTCTTCACAATGGACCTAAGCGAAGAGGAGCCTTGTTGGAGGTGTGTGACCGGTAGCGGAATGCCCGGAGCAGGAAACCCAGGAGGAGTTGCACCACCACCGAGGCTGGATCACGTAGCGGTTAACCTCCCCGGAGGCAGAATCTTGATCTTTGGCGGTTCGGTGGCGGGACTTCACTCAGCGTCTCAGCTTTATCTGCTTGACCCAACCGAAGATAAACCCACATGGAGGATACTAAACATTCCGGGGAGACCACCGCGGTTTGCTTGGGGACATGGCACTTGTGTTGTGGGAGGAACACGAGCTATAGTGCTGGGTGGTCAGACCGGAGAAGAGTGGATGCTAAGTGAGCTACATGAGCTATCACTAGCGAGCTATCTCACGTAGAAGAAGAAGCAAACAGAGCCTAATGAGGTGCAGCCATAAAAAGAAGATGACAAAGGTTTCTCCGTTTAGGATACTGAGCTTTAGGGGAGAGTGACTCTGTGGTGGGACTTTGGTGCTGCTCATAATTTTTTTAGTCCTTCTTCTTCCTCTTTAGGGCCTTTTAGTACTTTTTATATATATAGTGAAAATGTGATCTTGTCTCTCTCTCGATCTCTCTAGGGTTTGTTTATGTTGTTCTCTCTGAAGTTTGATGCTTTTGAGGAGTGCATTTGTGTTCATATTCTGTAAATTTTATTTATGATTTCACAAATGATAATAATATGCTCTCTTTATATGTTACTGTACTATATCGCAAATCCAATATCATATAGCCTCCTGGGCTTAGCTATATGAGCTCTGTTTCATAAAGTTTTAACCAACAGAATACTGAAATCGCAGGTTTGATTTTAAAAGAGGAGATGGTTCTTCAATATACTAGGAGTAATTTGCATTTTTTTATACCGCCACATGTACATTTTGTAACAAAAATATCCAACTTCCCATATCTCGACTTGGCTCTTATAATTCATTTGGGGAAAAATTATTCGGAGTCTCTCTCTCTCTCGGCGGAAGTTTGTTAAAACCCTGAGACAACCACCGTCCTCACTCGCATCACCACCATGTCAGAGCGCGACCGACGCGAGCGAGAGAGGGATAGGGACCGCGAACGCGACCGTGATAGACGCCGAGATAGAGACGACCGTGACCGTGACCGTGATCGAGACCGGGAAAGAGATAGAGAGAGGGACCGTGACCGTGACCGTGACCGTGACAGAGGGATTAGGAGCAAGAAGTCCCGATCTCGAACTCCAGACCACTACGCTCGTCCTCCTCGCCACGCGCGCTCTCCGGAGAGGAACCGTTCTCGTTCCCGCTCGATTGACCGTCATCGGCACCACAGGCGCAGGACTCCCTCTCCCGATGCGCCGTCGCGGAAACGGCCTCGCCAGGGTTCAGTGGACGATGACAGGGAAAGGAGTCGCAAACGAGATGCTCCTGATTCCGCCAACGAGGCTGCGAAGGAGCCTGCTAAGAAGAAGAAGGATAAACAACCAAGCGGCGGAATCGAAGCTGCTGATAATGGCGGAGGCGAAGCTGAGGAGGGGATGGATGTCAACGAGATTGAGATGATGAAGATGTTAGGGATTCCAACTGGATTCGACTCGACGAAAGGGAAACCAGTTGAGGGTGCTGACGTCAGTGGGATTAGGGCTGTAACCAAGCGACAGCCAAGGCAGTACATGAACCGTCGCGGTGGATTCAACCGTCCTTTGCCGGCGGAGCGTAATCGCTAGTTTCTTCAAGGTTAGGCTTCCCAGACTAATATTTTTTTTCTGTGATGATAGCAACAACATCGAATTTGAAGATAGGTTTTAGCTGCTTTCTGTAGGTTGTAGTAGTATGATTGGATTAGCCAGGACTTGAGCTTTTAGACTTGTTGGCTGCATTGAAGATGAATCATGAACATACACAGGTCCAGGCTCAGCACTTTGTTGCTCTGTGTCTAGGTTTCTACTCTAGAAAAATTGATAGGCATCTTGGATTCTATACTAGTCTCTTACAATTATGGTTTTTCTTCTCACTCTTGCTCACTAATGGTTATTTTAGTTAGTCTATACGAAAGGTCTCTGTTTCAGGAGATATCCTCACAAGGTCTAAAATAGTTCACTTGGTCCTTTTGTCATTCGCATTATCATCTTAGTTTCTTAATACAGAGGAGAGGAGATAAAACGAGTTAAATTAAAGCAGAGAAGATGAAACGAGTCCTTTGTTTCTCTTAAGTTCTTTAGTTTCATGCCTTGATACATTTGACCCTGTGGTAGCTTTCATCTCTTATTCTGAAGATTATGTAGAGATTAAGTAAATTCAGTTTTCATGATTGTTAACTAGAATCTTGTCGTGACTCTTTGCACCCAGTTTCTGTTTTTATAATAATCACTTTGCCTCACCAATTTGCCTCTCCTTTAAACCTATCCTGCAGGTCCTTCTCAAGCTGTCTTAAAACACGAGTCAAAAGGAGGAGGGTTCGAGCTGCTTTTCGCAGGTAGTATTTACTGCAATTTCTTCCCCAGACTCTGTTCTAATGTCTTTAGAGGAACAAACTTGTACTCTCTGAATTTAGAAACATCTCAATGACTCATCTCTTCTTCTGGGTTCAGAATGGTTATTGTTTTGTGTGTAATCTCCCGGCTCTAACTTTCAGACTATTCATATTGAGTTTTGCAATAGACATCAGAACCAAACCGATATTTGCGTACTTAGACCATTGTTCCTCTATTTTTTCCTTTATAGAGGTGCACTTCTCTCCAACATGTTCCTCTATTTTTTCTTCTAAAAATAAATATTTTAAGAATATTTTCTTTATAGTTTATTATTAACATCTTCTTTTCATAAAATTCACAAATTAACCTCATTTATATTATTGTTTACAAAAATTTCCATAAATAATAAAAATATATTAAAATTAAACATTTATTTCATAAAAAAAATTCAAAATGACTATAGTATTTGTAATTTTCCATAATTTTCAATACATTTATTAAATCACTATAGTATTTATCATTTTTTATAATTTTCTGTGTTTTAAAAAAATTATTGTAATTTATCATTTTATTTATAATTTAGTTTGAAATAAATGAGAATTTTCCAATTTAGTTATATTATATGTTCACAAAATTTTCTCAAACCATAACAAAAATTATTAAATTTATTTATTTATTGGGTTTTTGTATTTAATAACATACAAAACTGTATAATGTAACTTTATTGACGTATTATTGTACATGTGTATACTATATTGCTATCCATGTTCATTTTTTTTATTGTGGATGAACCACTTTCATTTATAAATTATATAGTTAATTAAAGTAAATAATGTTTTCTGTTTTTCTATAATAGTTATTGTCTGAAATGATGTTGATTTTATTAAATTTTATTAAAGTTAGATAACATTTTATAATTTAATTTAATTTATATGTTAGATATATAGCTATTTATTGAATATATACAAACTAGATTATGCAAATATTTAATTTAATTTTTTATTTGTTATATAAATAAAAATAAAAAAAATGTAAAAGTTAAGAGACCAGTTTATAAATAAAAAGTGCATCTCTATTATAAAAGAACAAATAGAATTCTTCCAAATATAGAGGTAAAAATAGAGGTGGATTGAAGAAAATTTTCTTCTAAACTCTATTTTTTTCCTCTAAAATAAAGTTAGATTGGAGATGCTCTTACATACTAACTTCATTCCAAAATTAACGCTGCGGTTTAGAATATAAAGTGAATATATATATATACAAAAAAGGCCGATTTCAAAAGCTCTAATGCCAGAGGTTGAGGCAGATTCCGGCTGGTACAACACCAGCTGTTGATGATTCCTTACTGCGTATGCAGTCTGAGAATGTATCCACAAGCTGTTCTCCCAAAGAGGACAGATCCTCCATGAATGTCTCAACAAAGGCCTTCACAACTCTAACTTCTCGGTGAGTAGCTCTTAAGCTGTACCATGTCAAGAACCTTTCCCTAAAACTCTTGTCTATATGCCCATCTTGCTCTAAACACCTGATGGTCTTCACGATGTGACCCAAGTCTTTACCTCCCACTCCGTTTCCTGCATTCATCTCAGGTTTCTCGTTCACTGTTGTTGCTCTTCTTCCCCTGGATCTTCTATTCTCTCCTTGCTTGCCCTTAAGAGTATCTCTCTTGCAGGGTGTTACAAGCAAGTCTCTTCTTCCCTCCGTATTGTTACCTTTCCTTTTTACGAGCCTCCCGTCTTCGAGCTCGGATTCTACTTCTCCTGCACTACAGTGTTCAGTGTTGTTCTTGTCACCATTTGCTTTGTAGCAGCTGCTTTTACGGACATTGTTAGATTCATCTTCGGGCAGAGATGGATTACTACAAAGACCACTGTTTGAGTTTGTCAAAAGGCTTAGCCGGTTCCCAGCTTCATCTCCATCATCTTTCGACGTTGAGAATCGAAGCTCAGACTCATCTAAGTCACTTTCCTCGTTAAAGGCCACCACTCTGAGACAGAACTCAGTCTCGGGTTCAAGTCCTTGGATGGTAGACATCGTCTCAGGTAGATAAACAACACAATTCACCTGAGACGAGCACTCTCCTTCGTTCGTACAAAACAACCTGAAACCCGTGATCCGGTTTTGCGAAGAGGAAGAAGAAGACGGCTCATCAGAGTCTAATCTCACAGTGACTGATCTTGCTTGAACCTCTTCTACTCTCACGCTCATCTTGTCACCTAGCGAGAACTAAAGTCAATACATCTTCGGACTTCAAAACAAAAGTAATGTCATAAAACAAAAACAAAACTAACCTTGTCTTGAAACAGATTCTGAAGGAGAGACCACTTTGTCCAGAGCTTCCATCGCCAGAGAACACAGTTTCTGAACCTGTGATCCCGAAGAAAGTCTATTGACGATACCTCGAGCCATCTTCATCGCCCAACCCGATAACGGACCCACATCACCCTCAAGCTTCTCCACCGCCTCATCCATGAGTTCCAACAGATCCCGATACCTCTTTGTACCTCTCAACAGCTTCTGTCCTAAAGAAACACGGTAACAAAGTACGTCCACACGCCGAGTCTCTTTAGCCACCTTCACTTGTTTCCTCCAGCATCTGTAAGTAAGTACACATACACACGTGTTATTGCACTACATTCTCCAAAAAAATCTCTTTTCATTGTAATATCTCCAACAGATGCATATCGATGGATTCTTACCCGAGCAAGTCGTTATCTTTGCCGCAAAACACGCAATAAAACCTACCGTCAAGACATCTCCCTCCTTCATTATCCTCACAACCAATCGCATACCTCTCTTGCTTCAACGCACATTCCAAATGACAAGACAATCCACAAGACTCACAAGTAAGCCATAGACTCGGGTCTTTATTATCATCAAAGTTCTGACAAATGCAGCAAGAACATCTTCTGCAAAAGGAATCCTCGGTTCCGAGCGCAGCTCTACAGGCTAAGTTCTCGCAGCAAACGATGTAGCTGGTCGTCTTCTGTTTCTTCCTCGAGTTTCTACGGTCCGAACAAGAGGTCTCTCCAAGAGGACGAGACACGAGGTTGAGTAGGTTTTCTATGAGTTTTGGTTTGGTTAGACCGGTGTACTTCCTCTCTTTCCCCATCTCCGCGCATATGATCTTCATTATCTCATTTCGGCTCCATGAATTTAAAAGCTCCGAAGCTTCTTCTGGCTGCTTCGACAATGCGTGGATCAGTTCTCTCCTTTCGCTTACATTAAAACCATTTTGTTTCGGAGACTCCATGCATTCAACCCCTGCAAAAAGACAAAAGAACACGATCCTTTAACCCTAAAACCTCCTGAAGATGATGAGCGTTATAGCCCGGAGCAAAAGTGTAAACGAATAAGTAAGAACAAAAAGGGAAAATCAAATTTTTGACTTTTTTTGGGGTAAAAGTTGGGTTTATTCAAAGTTTCAAACTTTATTAATCAATGAATCTCAACAACCCAAAAATTTCCACAATGACGACGAATCCAATGCGGGAAATGAGCGTTATGCTCATTATTCAACAGTTCAGACTTCAGATGAATAAAATCGACGTCGTGTTAACAACCTAAAAGCATCAAATAAACGCATGAAACTAGAACAGTGAGGAGACAAAGACGTTCACGTCGACAAGAAGAAGAAATCGTACCGTGTAATGAAGAATAATCCATGTTCTCTGGACCCACATTACTATCAAAACGCCATATCTTTGAGAGCTGCAGATCAGATTTCACAACAAAAGTTAAATAATGTAAAAGTTATAAAGAAAGTTAAAAAACAAAAACAAACAAAAAAACCATCACAACAAGATGAGCTGAAAAAATAATACAGACAAGGGATCAAAGATGTAACAGGACCCATGATACGGAAGAACAAGAAGAGATCGAAAAGCTCGGATTTTATTTTCGATTAAAAAAAATTAAATTTAAACAACTGAAGAGAAAATTCATGAAGCTCTCCTGCTCTAAAAAGAACATGTATAATGTATTTTTTTTTTTTTATCTATAGACGGTGATTCGAGGAGGACTCGGTGTACAAGTTCTATATAAAGAGGCGATACAAGAACAAAACATTGAGAAATTTGTTGAATTAAAAAAATAAAATATCCAGAGAATAAATTAAAAATATGTATACCTATAAATATAATAGAAAATGAAATAAATTGAGGTTTGGTTCGTTGAGGAGGCTGTTTCAGCGAATGAAACAACATCGAACAAAGAAAAGATATTTACCGAAGTAGCTTGCATTTTTTTTTTCTTCTTTGTGTTCTTCGTTTTTTTTTCTTTCTTCTTTCTCTGGTTTTTTTTTTAGGTTATTTGATGAGATGTCTTTTTGGGGATTTCGTAAAAACGAAAAAGTATTTCGGGGTTGGTTCTGCTGACCTTCTTTTTTCTAGATGTTTCTAACACAAACCCTCTGATGAATCTTCTGCTCTGAGAGCTTTTTTTTTTATGTTCTTTAGAATTTGGTTTTATTATTTAAATATCATAGAAAAAAAGTTGTAAATATCTAATGTCTTCACGTGCTTTTGGAGATATTATATATGCACACAAATGCTTTGATTTGACTGGTAACCAATGCTGGACTCGGGTATTATATATTTTCGACAATATATAGATTAATATCCCTAGATATTATTCAAAAATTATAATAATATTTAATTACAACCAATGAAATAAAAATACTTAATTACTTGTAGACCGATTTGAGATAATGAAATAACATTTACTTACGTTTACATCATTAGCTAGCAGTTTAGCACCACTCATAAAAGACTGATTTATAGGAGAATTTGTGTTTCATGAACCACCCCACTGCAAACGATTTACCATTTTTGTTGTTAAAAGGTTAATATCGACTTACTATGTAATATTTATTCGCTATATTTTTATTCATTCTACAAATACTTTCTATAGTACAGTATATATTAAGAAATATAATGATATAGCTATTAATTAGCATTTTAATTTGCCCATAAAAATGGTCGGTCCAAACACCAAGAAAGTTATTTGCCATGCTTATTAACATAGCACATACGATTTCTTCGACTACTTCTAGAACGGATAAATATTTGGTGGAAAAAAAAAGAGTAAGAATGTATGCTGTAAGTTTCTTACATAAATTAAAACGACAATAATCTACACATAAACAAAATAACTCATGGCTGTTTAGTGGTTGAAAGATTCACTATATACTAGCTAAAGGACCATGATTAAAGTTTTTGGTATTGTGATTTTAATCATGGTGGCCAAAATAAGATGCTTTAACTGACTGAAAAATCCAAGTTAGTAAGTTGTAAGAAGAATTCAATTTAAGTAAGAGTTCTTATCTTGATAAATCATGTTTCGAATCTTATTTTTTTGCTAAATACAAGTTTCGAATCTTATATCGATAACATTTTTTAGAATACAAAAAGATGAGTCACGCTTGTCATTTGTAACCAACTAATTTTTTTTTTTTAAATGCTAAAAAAACTCACATTTTATAACATATCAAGATGCTCAAAGAATTGGTAAAATATCATCTTAAAAGAAATATGTACTAAAACTCAAGCTTTAAATGAAAATAAACTATATAATCATGTGGGTTTAGATTAGTGGTGTTTCTTATATCATTTGACAATGTTGTGTTACCTAAGTTCCTCGACAGATTCTTATCTGATTGAGGCTATTTCAGTCTGAATAAAGAGATGTACATACATTCGGTCATATCCTATCACTTAACCATATAAAAAAATATAAAGCAGGGCTGACTCGATCAATATACTGTCAATTAGTTGTGAGAAAAGAAGTTAAGTCTTTGACACACGATTATAAGTAAACCTGTCAATTGTATCAATCTTTGAAAGTTACCATGATCGAGTCTTTGTTTCAAAGGTTGCTTTTTTTATGAACGATTGTATAATTTGATTCCGGACATTATAAAAAGGATAATTGTATTGTCTAATAGAAATTCGGTGGAGATTTAAAATGGAGTATTACTTAAAACAGTATGATGACCAATGATATCTCTGTAGTCTCCATATAATTATATACACATATATGTTTGCTATACATATACAAATGCATAAAATGAAGGAAGAATTTTTATTTTATTATTTTGTAAACGCTAGAAGGAACCTAAAAATTATCTTTCTATTTGGGCTTGCCATTTACGTTTATGACTAACAAATTTTTTAAAAAATTCTTACGATTGTGAGTCAATTGAAAATTATACATGTTAAGATTAAATAAGCACAAACGTAAACGCATATGTTAACACAGAAAAGAAAAGAAAAAGTAGACTGAGCCGGCTCACAAATAGTTGAACGCAACATTGAATATTTGAATCATCATAGGACAAAAAAGCGTTTGAGAGAAGCTAAACCATGGGCGTTGCCGTTATATAAATTTTAGTCCACAGTAATTTTATCCTTTTTGGTGTTCTTACCCTTTTGGAGGTTGGCACATGAAGTTAAAGAAATGAATAGAGAAGCATCTCTGATTGTTCGAAGTATGACAAAAGAGGATCATTGACAATATATAAGTTGGCTACAAAAAGTTTTTGTATCGGAAAGTGATAAGGTTACCTATGTGGAATGTTCGAAATTGTAGCCTTGAGAGTTGATTTCCCTTTATTCTATTTTTGGTTCATTGTATCACTTCTTTGATCAAGACTTATGAAATTCAGAGGAAAGAAAAGATATATACTCAATCGGAGCCTATATATAAGAAACGGAAATATTCTTCTACAAACAAAAAAAATTATCCTACAACTCTTAGATAGTTGAATTAGTTCTTCTAACTACTAAAATAAAAGATGTTGGTCTCTTCGACCGCATTGAATAACCGTATTTTGTACTATAGTAACCCACATTTCGAAATTCGCACATGACACAACCATCTACAAACTTTTATTTACTGCCAACCATTTGGTAACTAAAATATCAGACATACTACTGCTTCCATCAATTATATCATTGCATAAGGGAAAAAAAACTGATAAAAGGATTATGGACCAACTCACTTTGGCAATAATACGTATAATGTATAGACTTGCAATTTGCAAATGGTTACAATGACAACATTAACGTACAAACAACAACGTATGAACAAATTCAAGTCAATTCTGACACAGCCTTTCAAAGAGAACCTTTAGGTTCACATATGGTCTACAAATGTGAAGCCATAATTAGCCTTTGGGCATGTAGCTAATACTGAGATCGGACACGATACCTTCTGTAAGATTATCAACAAATATAACCAATTGAGTATTTGGAATCCAGTCGAATTATCTCCTTTATAAATTTCTTTTTTTGTACTCAAGGCATCTGTTTGGATAACTTATATTTTCATGACTAGTTGCAAAACATCACTTTAATCCTATCATTTCTTTGGTGGCTGAGATGGGAAATTGATTTTCACAAAAAAAAAACATATTTATACCACTATTGTATTCCTATGGCAGTCGCTAGTTACAAAAAAAAATATCGTTTCCATGCAATTTACTCAACCAAAATATATTAAATACATAAATGTGTCTATGTTATGGGTATACCGCTTATTAAATGGTACTGATCAGTTAAATCAAAAGTTACTAGTGGGTGGGTAACAAGTAAATTTGATTATATATTTGGTTTGAAACAACATTTAAAAAAAACAATAGAAATTACTTTACAATGATTTTTATTTTTTTTGTAGAACGGAGGAGTGCATATTTAGATTTACCGATATCCAATATCAAGCCGTATTGTCAAAGAACAAACAATACGCTTACGTTTACATGCCATGTTGTTTTTATTTTTGGTCGTCTCAAATCTCAAAGCCTTTGCTTTCATTATCTGGATGGTTTATGGCATTGGGCTGACTCCTCAAAGTGATTGATTTCGAAGATGAAACTTGGAACGTAGAAAGATCCCGAGAGCAATTTCGTTTCGGATATAAATAACAAAGTTTACACCATACATGCAAAACAAAAAATAAACTGTTCTGCAGATATTGCTGTCTGAAAGACACTTTTTTTTGTCACGATCTGAAAGACAATAACTCCAAAAACAATATGACGAAAGTCACGAAACCATGCCATGCAAATGATATTTAAAATTACCGCGGATGATTTGTTTTTTCATTTATTCACATATCGTTCCATCTTCAATCATTCACTTTGCCCACAGATGAAATAAATAAATAAAAAAGAAGATAACAGTACTGAAAAGAGGAAAAGGAGCCCATAAGGTCATTAACACAAAGAGTTAGTACTGTCAGATCCCGCTAAATTCTTGGTCAGAAGACAAAACATAAAAGTGAAAAACTTAAAAAAAAAAATATCTTTTAAAAAGAGCTACTGAAATAATCTATAAGAAAATATCGAATTTCATAACAGCGTTTTCTTTTTCCTACATCTTCCTTTTGTTCTCTCACTAAGATAAGTTTCGAGAGCTCATTCCAATCCAAAAACCGGTGTCTGCAAAACAGAGAGATTCGACTTTGCAGTTTGGTACGTATTCGCAATGTTGGTGTTATTAATCCAGTTTACGTTCCCACCATACCCTTCGTTACCGTTACCTACGGTTGTTGTCGGGGACAACGGAATGGCCGAGACCGGACTCGATGCACCGGAATGACTATTATACTCTTCAGACTCCACGAAACCACCACCAAAGCTGTTTTCTCCATCTTGCATTACCGGCATTATAGCAAAACCCGGAGAAGGGTTGTGAAGATCCGACCCAAAGGTTGCTATCGGTCGGATCTCAGCTTTCGGGTTTGGCTGGAATCCAAAAACGTTGGACCAATAATGTTCAGCCGGGTCTTGCTTGATCGGTATTCCGGTGTGGAAAAAGGTTCCTCCATGGTCATGGACCGGTGTTGCCACGTTGAAGGTGAGCGACGGTGTGGTCAGAGACGGAGGGTCGGATGGAGATAGCTCAACGGTTCTGTCCGGTGCTGTGGTTGCAGGGGACGGTTTAGGCATTAGCCCACCAACGGGGAGATTACAGGTGGCGATCGATTTGACATCATAGCGGCTGATATCAAAGTTGGTTACCGCATTTAGCCCTCTGAATTTAATTGCCGCTATATCATAAGCTTCTGCAGCCTCCTCTTGAGTGCCTGAAGTAATTAATATCCCACCATAAGTTAGATATTATTACAAAAAAAATGTTAAAAACAGATTCATAAAACTATTGAAAAGGGACTCACTAAATGTGCCTAGATAAAGGTCTTTGTTTCCCGCGACTCTTCCAATACGTGCCTGCCATCGACCATGCTGGTGATGTCTGCATTATTTATTAAGAATAAAGTTTTAATCATTCACCTAGGAACGTGCATTAAATTGTTTCATGGAGTAAAATAGGCTTTAAAGCATAAGAAACTAGTGGACGGAAGAAAAATCTACTGATTAAAGTGTAGACAGACCTAGTAACACCTCTGTACATGGAGGCACCTCTAGAGAATCCACTGCTTTTCCTTTAGTTAAGTAAAATAAAAATAAAAAATGTAATTTGGTTAGAACAATAAATTTGATTTATCTAACAACAACTATAAGAAATACATATCTCAAATTAAATAATTACCGTCTTAGAGAAGCAACGAACTCTTGCCGAGTCATGTGTTTCATCTCTTCAAGTTCAGACTCGTAATTTGATATCTAATTGCAAAAGTATATCACCGGAAATTAAAAAAACAAACCGAGGGAAATTCTAATAAATAAAAATAAGAAACAAAAATTACCGGGAAATTAGTCGTAGTTGTAGGACCCCAATACTTGAGAGCTGCAAGGTCGTAAGCTCTAGCTGCTTTCTCTTCCTTGTCATAACCACCTGGACATAACAAATCATATATTTCAAATTCATATATTATCATGCAAATATAAATTTGAATGAAAATGATAACGTTTCAGAAGGGAGTTAAATTCACGAAGAAGAGGTATATATATGATGATGAAATAAATTGTTCGTCAGAATTTATTGGGACTCACCTAAATAAACTGCCGAACAATTAAAATCATTACAAGTTTCAGATCGTCCACGGTTGGGTAATGATTTCACGTCACAGAACCGAAACACAAAATAAAAAGCGACATTAGATTTTGGCCGTGACATCATAAGCAAAAAGTAAAACATACAAGTGAAAAGAACGCTCATTATAGTAAACATCAACTGGATATTATTAACAAGCGCATACGAAGCGCATTTTAGACAAAAGTGTACCTTGTCTTCCTTTTCTGCTTTGGCCTTCTCTTCGGCAACTATTGTCCCATAGATGAGCTTCGTATCTTCCAGTCCATCTATGTCTGTTACATTCATTAACAAGTCAGCTATATACCATCAATAAAAAAAAGCACATGCATTTACAAATAAAAACACATACTTACGTACCAAAAATGTTACGAAATGTTACATCATCGAATGTTTATTTAAGAGTTCAAGAATAATCTGATAAAACGCACCTTGTAACTCCTCTGTAAATCGAAGTACGTTGTCCGAAACTCTCTACATTTTTCTTTGGAGTGGGCGAAACTTCCGAGGTAGCTAGAGGGTTATGTCGTTGTTTTTGTCCGCTAGATACTTCCGATGAGTGTCCACCGGAATAGTTTCCGAGGAAGCTAGCAGCTATTGATTTCAGCTCAGAGTCGTAGATCTCGGCGGCCGAGGGAGGATGATGTGGTGGCTGTAGGTCGGAAGAGAAGACAACGCCGCCGACAGATTGAACTTGTTGCATTGGACTTGTCGTCTTCGTCGTTGTGGCTCCGCCTCCGAGGAAGTTTTCGAGTTTTGGACCGCCAGGGTAAATGGAAAGAACCGCCGTGGCATCGCCGGTGGAAACTCCCGTTGACTCATCTTGACGCTGGACTGAAAATTGGTTTCATTTACGAGGGTTTAGTTGTAATTAATGATTTACTTTTGAAGGAGACAATATCTAGTGAAAGATTCTATAGGAAAATAAATAGATATTTAATTTAGTTTTTCTTCTATCTAGAACAAAACAAATAAATACTTAAATAGATTCAATGCAAGCAATTAATTAAATACGCTACTGAATCTAAATAAGTAAAAGTTTATCAAACTAAAAAGAGTAAGGAAGTGGTCAAGGTGCAACAGAACTCAAAGTTGGTCTGTCCTAATTCATACAAACTTTCAAAAGACAATCAACACAAAACAAAAACCCTAATTAGATCGAGAGAGAGGAAAGACCTGGAGTTGTGGAGAAAGCTTGAAAGAGAGAGAGATGAGAAGGGTGAGGAAGATGATGATCTGATGTGGAAGAAGTGAAATTAGGGTTTGAGGAAGAGTTGAAGTTGTTGGAGAGAGAAAAAGAGAGCCAGTTTTGATGAGAAGAAGATGAAGAAGAAGGAGACAAAGAAGAATCATAGCTAGAAGATGAAGAAGATTTGTTGTTATTGTTCTTCATCTTTGGAAATAGGATTTTTTTCCTTCTTTGGGGACTCGTGAAATCTGTTGGATGTGTGTGTGAGAGAGAGAGAGAGAGATTTAACTCTGGTGATTTCACGACTTTGGAAATAGTGGAAGGTCTCGCCTTTTAACTCTCCTCTCTAGGGTTTGAGAGATAGATAGAGAGAGAAAGAGAGAGGACACGACACAGTTATAGAGGTCAAGATGAGAGAGACGACTGAGAAAATGTATGAGAGAGAAAGAGAGAGCACGAGGGTCGAGGCTCTATAGTTGAAAACAAAATTATTCTGATAAATTTGGTTAGGAAATCACATGCAGAGACCACGTATCATTATAAAACAATTAGAATGTCGGATGCATATTATATATTTTGCTAATGATAGATTTTTATTTACTTTTTTTTTTAACTAGATTTTTATTTACTTGTTATAGACTTATAGAATTAACCCAAAATTTCCTTTATTCTACATTCCCACATCTTGCACTCAGTCACACTAAAAACATTCTGATTAACAGCGAATCTTTACATCATAACGTTTGACAGTCCGTAGGGAAAATTGATATTAATATAAAAAAACAATGCAATACTAAGCCAACTAAGAAATTGATTCTTAGTTTATCAACATTTTATCATGGGGTTATTTTGAGTTTTTTAGACTATTAAAAACGCAAGTGTGGTCACACATATCTTCGTAGTCATTTACCAAAATATGTAATGATTAATCAAAATGTTTTTAAGAAGAAAAAACAGTAAAAAGCAAAGAAATAGTAGTATAAAGAAAAGAGAGAGAGAGGAAGAAAGAAAGCAAAAGGGCAAGTGGAAGCTTTTGATGGGATGAACTGGGCGGCGACTGATCTCACGTCACTCTCATATTATTTATTTTAAATTATTTTTATCGTTTTCATTTATTTTATTTCTGTTTTGTGTTTTTGTGACGTGGAAGGACGAACGGTCTACGTATTAATAACATACACATACGGTGAATGTTTAAGAAAACATTTTATAAATATATAAAATGTTTGCAAGTTGGGAAGCACTTCCAAAATATAATTCAGATGTTGTTATCTTATAAATGGAGCGTTATCAACAGATATGTTTTCTATAAAGATCAAGCATTCTCAATTCACAAATCCATTTATATGTATTATGCATTTGAAAGAAACGAATTATTGTCACTGAGGATTAGAAATCTTATAATTTTTCGATCATTGTGAAATTTTAAATTTATTTAGATTAGTGCAAGGAAGGTGGTAAATGGTGATGGTCCAAAAAGGTGACGCGTGTCCCCTCTGTTCTGTATCCAATTATTACGAACTTTGGCTTATTCCCTAATCTTTTCGTCATTCTTTGACCATTCCAATACCATTTGATATTTTCATCTCTTTTTCTAAATAATTTTATTTATTTTGGCTCCTTTTCACTGTAACATTAATTAATAAATGTTAAAATATACAGAAAATAAAATAAAAGCGAAAAGAGGGGCAGAACTCGCGCGTCTTGTGGACTCACACTGTTCATAGCATTAGCAAAGCTTTGGCGCCATTTTACATCCTTTGATTACCATCTGCTTTCTTTTTTTTTATTTGTAATGATGTTGTATTCTTAGCAATTCGATAATACGTACAAATTGCGAAAAATATGCATATTTTTTTTTGACATTAATTTGTTATGGAACAAATGGTGGATTGTACACTGCTTTTTAGTATCTTTCTGATTTATGTTATCAGTTCTCCCTTGTGATTTCTGTTCCGCTAATTCTTGTTCTTATTTCCGTAACTTCATTGTAAATTACACTGCTTTTAATAAAAGCCTTTTAGCACCAAAAAAAAAACAAATGGTGAATCAGATGTTTACTGAGAATGTAATTTTCTTATAACCTTATCTACTAATCCATATGACATTTCAGGTGTGAAACAATTATTTTATATGTAATTTCTGAGTCATAATCTCTATAGTTTGAAAAAAAGAGTTCAAATGGTATCCATCATCCATTGAACGACTTGGACGCAAGTTTATTAGTTTTCGTATTGTTTAGTGTTAATATTAAAAATAACACCAAAACTATAAAACGTATTTTACCCAATAAAACGTATACGAGCTTATTGCGTTTGGGACTTTATGCCATTAGCAACACATCCATGCACGTAAACAATATATTGGCGTGTTTTTTCTGCGTTTGCTGATGCATCGACCATTCAACCATAACGCTATTTAATATTTTAGCGTTCAGAATTTTGTAAAAAAAAAAAATGTTTGTCAAACGCGTGTGATAAGGAGCGTGAGATCAGCGGGTGAGAAAAAATAAAGTGTGAGTATATAGTTTGAAGAAATGGAATGTATGTGAGAAAAAATAAAGTGTGAGTATATAGTTTGAAGTGTAATTAATTAACTTACATGTTTGGACCTAAAAGAAGATATACAGACGAGGTTTTGTTGTAATGGCGAGCACATGGTTGCATGTAGACCACCCACACGTGTCAGCCACTATGCACACGTGTCTTCTGCATGCTGCGTTATCCCATTGTCTATCTCTTCACCCTGCACCATTATCGTGTTTTTAACAATTATTTGTTTCCTTTCGATCAATTATTATTATTTCGTACACATCAATTTTATTTTATACATAATAATCAAAGAGTAAAAAAGTAATATGTCTCTAGTCCTTTTATATGTGTGACTTCTGATGTGTATACAATATTTTCAAATTGCATGCTCTAGATCATTGAGATAAACTTTTTAAGGCACAATCATATATTCCCGATCGAATACGATTTGATACGATATATAAGTGAAAATACACTGTGTATTACATATATATAGATGCATATACGATAATTATTACTTGAAAATGTAAATTTATGACAGCTTTAGAATTTATTAAAAAAAAAATGACAGCTTTGGAAGCACGTATTTTGCCTTCAGGTTACACGATACGAATTCGGTGAATCACGTGTTAAATAATCGTAGCCTTTTTCTTTATTAGCTAATAGAATGAAAATAAATTGTAAATTATTATTTTGTTCTACTGTCTCATAGCAGTATATGGTGCCCTTTCCACTGAAAGCGGTCGAGGACAGGAGCCTGGAGGAGTCTAATGAAATGTGCGGTCAAAGAATGTGAAACCACAAGTTAATTATATATACTTGTAGTTGTAGAGCGGCATAAATTTTATATGAGCAATTAGCTAGAACAAGATTCCAGAAAGCAGGTCACGATGGATCGATCGAAAGCGCAGGCATCAAAACCTGGAGTGGGTGTAGTTTACTTTTGGGCTTATTATATATTATATATTATACGTTAACTTGTTTGTTTTAATTTAAATGCTAAAAAAGAAACAAAGTTTATAAACCAAGGATATGATGGCTCAACAATCACTATTCAATTCACTAAGCTTAAATTTGATTTTCATTTGTTATTTTTCCTAATAGTTTCAATACAGGAATTTGGATATATATATGCAAATATTAATCTGATATCTAAATTGGTTTTTAATATTGGATTTCATGGTATCATATATTCAAGATATCAAATGACTTATGTTTGCAATTTTAGCAAATGGTTTATATCTCTTTTCTTGTAATTTTTAGATTGTAACAAAAATGTGATCATTTCTTTATCCCCAACCTGAGATAAGTTCTAGGAAGGAAAAAAGGTATACGAGGTTTGACAGAATCGAAATAAAAAAGCCGAAAGATTACTCAAAAGATTTAAAGAAAACAAATACAAGAAATTTTGATCTTCTTATTTTTGTTGTACACTTTTAATGCTTGTAAGCAATGTTGGGTTAGTTCTTTAATTTTATTGTACTGTAGGTTTGTTTTGATCCTACAAAGATTCTGTAAAGTTTTTCTTTTTTTCTTTTTTGTCGTTCTGTTGCATTTAAACAAACCCAAACTGAGAGATTTTGTAAAGTTAACTTTGACGTTTTAATATTACTCTAAATGACAAAAAATAAAATAAAAATTTGCAAAATGTGCAGCGCAGAAACATTTAGTTATTATTTTTTTTTTTAACTGCAAATACTCCATATATTAAAATTCAGTTCTAAAGATATTAGGTTCGGGAGCCAACCACTCTGAAAGCAAAGAGTTTATATAGGAGAAGATTAGACCACGGCTTTGAGCGTTTTTAGCGAGACGATCAGTCCGGACATTAAGAAGACGAGGAGTAAAAATTATAGAAAGGTTATAAAAATTTTGGCGCAGGAACTCCAGTTCTTCAAACTCTGTAGCTAGTGTCGCCATTCTTCTTCTTCTTCAATCAAATTTACCAACTGTAGGCAGTCCGTCTCAAACACTAATCCAGCAATCTGCAAAGGAGTCAAAACTTTCATAACCCATAAGATGGCTTCCAATTCGGCATGAATTGGAGAGATAGTTTGTGCTATCGCCATTTATCCATATAATTTGCTTCCATCTACCATATCCAGTACGAAACCTCCGCCAATTGTGTGTCCATCCTTTACCCAGGAGGCATCCACTTGGCAGCGTGGTAGTACCATACTATTTTCCCTCGGCCTATCCATACTCCTTGGTTCTTGCAGATTTGGTACCTGACTGGTATTTTCGATATCTCCACGCTCCGAGACCTGCTGGGCGACTTTCCATGAATCCGCTTCTTGTAAGGCGATTTCCAAAGTCTCTGTTGGTAAAACGTCTTTATTGTTAAAAAATTTCTCATTCCTGACCTTCCAGATGTACCATAGAATCTAGGGGAAAGCCTCCAAAAACTTTGCAGTGTCTCTTTGAGCTGTGACCCGGGGAAGAAGAGGTATGCAAAGTTTTAGGATAAAGTAATACTCGGGAAGATACCCGGAGATGATGGGATAGCACTCATGGCCCATGTCTGTAGCGCTGGAGGACATTCAAAAAGTACATGGTTAATTGTCTCTATCTCAGTCCCACAGCGTTGGCATCGACTGTTTGTGCTACAATGGCGGTACGTTAGTTGACTGTTAGTAGCTATACTGCCCGAGAGAGCTTGCCACAGGAAGTGTTTTATTTTCCGAGGGGTTTTTAGAGTCCATACTTTACTCTTTAGGGGGGTGAAGCTTGGTTCTGTGACCGAAGATTGGACTTCTTCGTCTCTCATTTGAACTGCCAACTCATAGCAAGTTCTTACTGAATACATACTAGACTTGTTAAAGGCCCACACGAATCTATCTGGTTTATATGTCCTACTTGGTCTGATGCTCTTTATCCGCAGAATATCTTCCGGATCAAAGAGTTGTTCGATGAGGTCTGTCCTCCACTCAGATGTGTCTGGGTTGATTAGGTGATG